CCAATCAATGACCTGATGTCCAAAGTTGGTGACATTGCCGAAGTACAGGGAGTTGTGGTCTTGTTCGAATCTGGCCCTCTTTGTTGGACTTGGATGTAGCGGAGGATCAAAATCCGGTTCTTCCGCTGGCGGCAGTCCTTGAAGCACTTGGTGAGGAGTCTTGAAACAGTCAATGCTCACTGCCCAAACTTGTATGACCTGGCTCGCCAAGCTGGGAGTGAGATTTGGCAGGTGTGTTGGAACCTTGCCATCATCTGCAAGCCACATGAGATCTCGATAGATCAGGATGGCAAAGTAGTGACCCTCTTGGTGGGTCTGCCCCCGGTGGCAAATGAGCACTGCCGGCACAAACTCAGTGGAGGTTCGTGCAAATCCATCAAGGGATCGTGGCATGGTGAAGGCGCTGTAGGGGTTGAATGTTTTGTCATCGCTCCATTGATGCAGGTATTGCGGGTCACATGACAGACCAGGACCTTCTTGTCATCCATTAAGTATTGGCCCATTCCTTGGTTTGCCCAGTTGTTGATCAGCTGCTGGAAAGAGACGTCATCTGGCCAGTCATCCGGATAGGGCACCAAAATGGGCTGTTGGACATGGTCAGTGAGATAACCTCCTTCTCGAATTTCAGCAAACCGCTCTGCTTTGTGACAAAAGCCACAGAGAGTTGACAAAGTGGCTTGCATCTCCTTGCACATTCAGATCATGTTGTTTCCATAGGTCCCGTAGTCCTGGCAGGGCCTGGATGTCAGGTTCCGCCGTGTCAATGGACTCCTGGACAGCCTCTCGTAAAGTGCCCCATGGTTGCGTGCTTGTCTCTTGCAGCAAGGCACAGACCCATGTAAAGGCCCTGCAAGGCGCATTTGCAAAACGCCGGAGGCTTGGATTGCCAACCACCATGGTGAGGTTCTGGAGGATGCAATCTGTAGAGGTGGCATAGTTTTGCATGCCTGAAAATGTCGGTGTTGGACTGCGTGTAGTCTTGATGCTTTCGGGTGCTCCTCCTAAGATGGATAGGTAGGCATTGCCATGTGGCGCCCCGTCAGCTGGTGGTCTATTGCCAAAGTGTGGTTGGCTGTGGTCCTCAAAATTGGAAAACGTGTGCTCAGGTCTACCTGGAAATGATTGATCCCCATCATCAGTAGAGAAGAGCTCCCCTGTATATGGATCAGCTGATTGATGTGCATTGTCCCCTGCGCTCAGTGAAGCTGAAAACCCAATTTGCTGTTGTGAGCCTGAGGCAGCACGGCAAACCTGTTGTGATGGTTGATGTACTGCCAGTGGCTGAGGTGCAGCTTCAAAAACTGTGATATCATCTAGTAGATGCCTTGTATTCGGACTTTCAAGGCCTTCACATGACACAATGTCATCGTCCGGAACTGGGAAAGTCCACCCCTGAAACATCCACACTGTCCAGGTTTCCCATGGGAGGTCGTCTCGGTTTTGCGGCGCTTCGTCGGGTCCTCCTGATCCTGATTGGGTCGTTTCAGGAGTCCACGCAGTTGATTCTTCTGCTCTTCAGTCATTCAACTGCCATGGGAATCTGTTCAGCTTCTCCATTGGCCACAGGCAGCTCAGATGGTGCTGGAGTCTGATTGACTGCCTTCATGTAATCGTCGGACAGGCTTTTGAGGGATTGCTGTCCTTCAGTGAGCTTGGATTGGAGCTTTTGCATGTCAGTAAGGAGTGCCGCATACTGTGCCTTGACATTGTCTATCTTGGCCTGGAGTTGGGTCTTTTTCATTGAAAGATTCTTCAGCTCGGTAACACGACCTTTGAGCTTGGCTGCAATCTCTCGTTCAGTGCATGGCTCAGGTGCGGTCAGCTTGTTGACCAGATCTTGAACCTGTTGTGGTAGGGCCTCCATGTGAGACTTGAGGACATCTTTGAGCTCTGGTTCATCAGGCTTTGTGGGTCCTATTCCAATGGCCTGCAATCGATTCTGGGTGTCCTCCGTCAGTGTCGTCCAGGTGGTAGCCAAAGGTTCTGTGGCCTCTTGTTGCACCTTGGAGATCTTGAGTGGCCTGACTTTGGGTAGTCCTGGTGGAGCTTCAGGCCATTGGCGCTGTTGCCTTGCCTGAGGGCTTGCCATATCCTTTGCCTTTGCCTGTGCTGGTTGACGATGTCATCCACATAGTGCCACAGCGTCTGCACCTGGTTCCAGGGTACATCTATGCCAGATCCAGTTGCTGCATGTGTCTTTGCTGCATGGGGTATAGGCTCTGCACCAATTCATGATCACTGCCCCGATCGCGATCTGGCCGAAGGCGTCTTCAGGGTCGTAGGGATAACGGGCAAAGTGGTAGTGCACAATCTCCCTCAGGTTGTGCTCGGACCGCAAGGTGCCTTAGTCCTTGTGCAGGGCGAGAACTTGCCAGCCAGCGTAGGTCACCACAAAAGTGAGGTTGGTGTTCAGCAAGATAGCGAGCAAAGAACGGTGGTATTTCAGGATGTCCTTGGGCCAACCTTGATGTTATTCTCCCTGCAACAAAGCGCGTGGGGTACCGCACTTGCAGGGCTTCGGGGCCGCCTGCTTGAGCAGCTCACGGCCTTGAGCCATGTATGTATGTATGTATGCATGTATGTATGTATGTATGTTCTGACATGTGCAGCCATGTATTCCAGCAATGTTTCTGCCACTTGTTCGGACATAGTTTCTGACATATGGCATTCCAAATGGCATAGCTTCTGACATCTGCTACAGCATTCTAATTCGGAATGGCGCAGACCCGTTCGCACTCAGACGGAGCTGAGCTCCCCATCGTGTTCAGTTCGGTGCGCTCCCTGTAGTATTTGGTCCGTGTGTGCCCCGACTGAGCTGGTGCTCCCTTTTTCATGCGCGCCCAGGCTGCCATGGAGGATATGTAGGAGGAAAGGAGCGGAGGAGACGAGGAGTGGCACCTTCATGGTGTAGAGACCATCACCTGGCAGGTGAATAAAAATATAAAAATATTACAGCCATTAAAGAAAGAAAACCTGTCAGGAAATTGCAATGAACCACAATGAAGCCCAGCACAAAAACGACACAGCAAAACCAACAATTTTATGAAGATTAAAGGGAAATGCTGTGAAACTGTCAAGCTGCACTTGTTTGCACTGCGTATTGGATGTCAATGTGTCTTAATTATAGGATCGTTTATGAGCGCGACAGTGTGAACATCTAGGATCCAATATTTTATCCCATGCTGGTCCTACGCGCGGGTTGAGGGAACTCTTTGTCTCGGCAAGGGCTCGAACTCCGGGATAAGGTTCGGACGATCATTACGATACGACGGATGGCTATTGCTGACCAAGATACAAGAAACCAATGGTTCCTCCCAGCTCCTTTGCACGGGGGACCATTGGATACCAGCAATGTGTTTGGAGTGGACATCACGTTTCGGATATGTCGGCACATACCTCTTGGACCAAAATTCGATATGGCGAATGATGTTTTGAACGTTGGGAAAACGGAGGATTGCGATGAGGGGGTGATCCCGTTGAACACATTCCACTGTGTCCTTTCCATGAGGGGACTGGACTGCGATATGTTTTCCTGTGTGCAAAATTGAAATGTCATTGCCAATTTAATCCAGGTCATGCCCAAGCAAAGGTTGATCCCTAGTGAGATTTGCGACTCGCAACCATTTCTTTCGAAGTGAACCCCAGTCCCTCACTCTGACAAACCCAGGTTTTTCTATCAATTTCTGCCTCCTGCCAATGCAGTCGTCATGGCCATCGTCGCCGCCTGGTTTTGTTTCCAGAAACTGGATGGTCACAAGCAGATGTTGGATCAGATGGCATCCTTTGACTTGAGAAATGCGCAGTGCACCTTAGAAACAGATCGGGTAGTTCTTCAGAGGCAAGTGCAAGACCTTTTTGATGAGGCCTTGGAACCTCCTTTGTCAATATCGCTTGATGTGGCAGAAGTTTCACAGACAGATGCTGACGTAGATTCAGCGGATCCGCTTCTTTTGAAGCAATCTCTGCAAGGCATTCGCCACGTCACCAGCTATCCGACCGAAGAAGAAGTCATTGACCACTTCAATGCATATGTGAGGGGCCCGCTGCGTGATAGGGTCGTGAGCTTGATGGGTCGTGAGATCGACATCTCGTTGAAACTTTGCGCTGTATTCAATCTGCCAGTGGTGCTGCTGGGATTCTTGGTTGTGTTCAGCTGTGATCGCCACTCAGATTGTTCTTCTGCCCTGGTTCAAGGCTACTCGTCGGTCTCGCACTACGTGTTCACGACGGCGGTCGTAAACTGTGTCGTCGTACCGGTTGTTGATGCTTTCTTCTTTCCACTGTCGCTCAGGGCCATGCACTTGCTGACGCTGGTGGTAAAGGGAAGAGTCGTGCGCATGATCTTGGGAATTCTTGTGAACACTCTCATACTGCTTGTGTTTGATGTGCTACAAGCAGCCGGTGCAGCTGCACTTGTAGTGATCTCCTGTGAACCTTCGAGCGTGTGGCTGCTTTGCTATATCTGTGCTTGCCTTCTGTTCTGTGGCTTAGCATGGTGCCTCTCTCCGGAGAAGATCCAACGTTCAAGTCAGAGACCGCTGAGCACCAGCGTGGCGTGAAGGAGGAGAGAAAAAGAGAGCGTGCCAAGGCATTTCGCTTCGCACGCGCAGAATCAATCCTGGGGTCTAAAGTCTAAAGCTACAGAGACCTTTCCAGAGACCAAAGAGCATGAAGAAAATAACAAAGTTATTCTTCAGACATCCTGCACCACACGAATTTGAAACGCAAGCTACTTGCATGGTGAGTTCAGCCACAGGTTTCGGGAGCTTCTTTAGCTGTTCCACGACAACTTGTGCAAAACCGGAGAGCTGGTTTTTGGACAGCAGTCGCTCGTTCACAGGGGGCCTGTCTATGAAACTAAGAGAGGGAAGGTGTTCACTGTTCGCAAAGCAGATTTAAGTTGGTGATTGCGCATGAAGCAATCTGGTCCGGCCTTTCTCAGTTCGACCCCCCAAAGGCTTGCGCCGCCTTACATCGGCATCGATCGGCGCGCCCGCGAGGTCGACGACCGGGAGGTCGACGGAGCTGCTGTTGGCGAGCGTCTGCTCGTGCAGCGATGGCCTTGTGCTGTGTTGGTGCAGATCAGAAGGCTCCGTTCTCAGGTTCGAGTCCTCTCTATTTCCTTACTGAAGTGCCATTGAAAGCTCATGAAAGCTCACTAGACTAGACCACTTGTCTTCTTCTTGCTGCAACGCTGAAGGCTGCCGAAATGACTGGTGCAGACCAGCCTTGACAGCGCAGGTGCCAAACTTCTGGTCGCGTCTTCGCTGATTCGTGGGGAAAGTTTCTGAAGCAAGAGAAGCGCACCGCACGGTCGTCTGCTGGAAGATGAAGAGGTTGGGGAAGCGCATGGTCGTTTTTGGGAGATATCAGTTGGTGATTGCACTGAGCTTTTCTCAATCAATGCTGGTCTAGACACTGGATGGGCTTCAGACATTGGGACCGTCAATCCGTGCGCCGCTGGCCTGCAGGCGACATACCACTCTGTGCTTTTGAGGCCAGCCTATCACCTCGATGGTGATGGATGACAGCAAGACACATGGGCATGCCGTGCTTGCTGGGGGCCTTTGGCATGCCGTGCTTCAGTGTGGTTGTGAGGCCTCCCAAACGGTAGTGCCAGAGGGGAGGCCATCCAAGTCTTGGACATGATTTCTCGATATACTGCGATGGTGCCACAGCTCATACGATGTGCATGAGCAGAGTCTTACCTGAAATGGGGGTGCTTTCCTACCAGGGTCCCTCAAAATGCACCCTCCAGGTTGGTTCGCCCAACCTGTGATCCGGTATCAATCCAACATTGCGCCGTTTGGAACTGGCCAAACACTGAAGATAGCGGAGCACTTTCTGTCAGAACTTCAAACAAAAACCATCGATTTTCTGTATGATTTTGGTTGTTTTTCGCATTTTCCTGCACAAACGGTGCAGGTCTCAACCGTCTCTGGGGGCGCCCGTTGGACCGTCCCGTCGACGTGGGCTGAAACCCCCCACGACGTGAAGCCCGACTGGGCCGGCCGGTGCGGGAAAAGAACGTCGGACGGCCGGGGGGGCAGACGTGGATCCCTTCAGCTCGGAGCTCCGCCAACGCGGAGCTCTGAGCTCTGAGCTGAAGTTGGCGCACACTGAGTTCAGGTTGCTTCTCCAACATGCCTAGAATGAGCACATGAGATGTGAGGTTGGTTCATTTTCCGGTTTAAAAGGCCTAGCGAAGGTCCACTCTCCAAATCTCAAGTGGTAGGAGGGACCGTCCTGCAGTTCCTGCTCAAGACGGCTCCAAAGACGAGCCATGTGTTTTGACCTCGTGCGTGGGATGACAAGCTACTAGATTCTCTTGGCATGGAGAACACGCATGGCAGTGGATTCTAAGCCACAGATGTCCATCTGATTTCACAAGCTATGTTAGTGTTCACCCAAAGCAATACATACTTTTGACCGGCAGAGTGCAAGTGGTCAAGAACTTGGTTTCAGCAGAAAACAATCAGGAGGAAAACAGTCAGGTGAACCACATTCCGATGATGTTCTTTTTCTTCCATGTTGATACATCATACATCCCAGACATTCCAGAAATGGGGAGCCCAGAAGGTTCTTAGCTTCTGCCTAGCTGAAGAAGATCTCTTTGGAACCTCATCGGCTCCAGACCGGGTCCCATCCGCTTCATGACACCTCCGTGCCGCTCTTCGTGCCGGGAGCAGTCGCTCCCGGCACGAGATGAGTGGCGTTGGGAGCCCAAGTGGTTTTTCCCTTTTTGGGAAGATGAGGGTTGATTTTGCCATGTAAAAGCCACATGTTTTGGGGTCTTCGACGTGGCACTGGTACAGATGGCTGGGTTTTTGATTGCGTTTTTTGATGATCTTGGGTCGAAATAGGGGGTTCATTTGGGGTGCTGGTGCAGTTCATTTTTCGAGGCATCGATGCAGGTAATTTTTCAAGGTTGGAAGACCAGCGACTCTAAGCTATGGTCTTGATGGTCTTGAACACAGTTGTGTGAACCCGAACTGCTTGATCCCTCGAAGGGTTCCATCTTCAGTCATGTTTCCTGGTGAAACCTCTTCCAACGAGCACAGCTCCGGAAGTGTTGAATTTGGCTAGTTGCTGCAATCATTTCAAGTTCCCTTTTCAGTGTTCACCAGTCTATTTATGTAGCAAGACGCTATTTCTTCTAGATGCCAGCACTTGTTCAAAAAGGTCCACGCATGTTGGGACCTGCTGGGCCTGGGTCGCTTTCTTCTCCCCCGAGGTGGAAGACCTCGTAGTCCAGAGAACCACTCGTAGTCCTAGTCATGTGACCGTGGCCTTTGTACAACGCTTCTCACGATACCTGGACACTCTTGGCCCGATGTTTTTCGATGACCGAGTTCCTTTTTATACCAACGTGCAACGATTGACATCCGACCAGTGAATGGTTCGGTGTTCGGTGCCCAGGTTGCTGGGCATGGCGTATGCCAAAGGCTCTCCACCCTCGCGATGTGCTGAGCACTTCAGCTGCAAGAAGATTCAGTTGGGCACTCTGCTATCCGAACTCCAGGTATTTGGATGGTAAGCACCATCCAGATAGGTAAAAGTGCGACCTGCATCCAGTCGGTCCACAGCAGGCAGGAAGTGCAATCAAGATAGCTGCTGTTGATGGATAGTTTCTTCACTGTTGTGCAAGCTTTGGCCTTTCCATCAACACCCAAATACAGCAAGATGGGCACCAAGATATCAAGCCCCATCCAGGGAGCCAAGTGGTTCGTTTTGAACAGCTTCCACAAAAGGTCGGAAGGCTCGTGCAAGGCGGACACTCCGGGATATAGACACTCTCCATCCCACACGGGTCCCACACCCTACCAGACAGCAGGATGCGATTTTCTTTTGAAGTTCCTCTTGAGGAAACTTTTTTCAGGTGCTTCATCTCGACCGTTTTGTGCTTCATTCCGTCCTCTCCAACGATTGGCCAGAACCGGTGTCTCTTCTCTTCGGGTCCCCAAAACCGGTTTTTGGCATTCGCCAGGGTCGGAGACCGAAAACCGCACCAAAACAGCCATACCACCAGGAGCCCCTAGGCCCGTTCGTAGAGTCCTTGCTCCGTTCGTAGAGATGCCCTTTGTTACGTTCATAGCGTTCTTGCTCCGTTCGTAGGCCAGGCCCGGAGCCCCGAGCCCCGTTCGCGTCACTTCAGGTGCGGCAACGTCTTAGTGGATGCCCTGGTCCTTTCCTGCGGACCGGATGCCCCAGAAAGACTGGGGTGACTGGGGTGACTGAGGCGCCCATAAGGATGAAAGGATTGCTAGACCTGACTCAAGGAACATGTGAACCAATCTGAGGTTTGATGAGGAGCACGAGGATTTTCATTTGTACCGATCCCGAAGCACTGTGTATCAAATGGACCTTGGACCAGCTGGGATTTTGGGCCAGGCCTTGTGGAGAGCTAGGTGACGCATGGCGACGCATCTTCCCTCTCTCATCCTGTCATCTTCAACAAAGTCCTTTTCTGCGAGGAGCACCACCTGAGCCGTCGCAGTTCACCCGCGGCCACGACCCATGGCTCGAGGCCACGACCTCTGCCTGAGCTGTGCGGCGAGCGCCTTGCGGCAGACGAGGTCCTTGAGCGGTAAGACGGTGCGGTGCTTGCTGTGCCCAAGCATCACCGAGCTCTGCGATGAAGCGGCCGGGGAAGCCCGAGCTGCGCGTGCGAAGCCGGGCGTTCGGATGGAGGGCCCGTACCGCCATTTGGCGGAAAGAGCGGCGCCTCCAGGCCCACAAAGAACTGGTCTCCTTGCTATAGTTAGACTCAGACTGAGCATCCAGCTGAGTCCAGAAATCACCGGCCCTCCCACATCAAAACCCCCCTGACCGGGTACGGGTAGCCGCCACTCCGTCATCCTCACGCGGGACGGTCCCTCATGGCGGTGTTCTTCGGCACGGCCACGGACGCACCGAGGCCAAGACGCTCCTGAGTCGGCCGACGGTCCCCATGGTGGAGCCGCAGGCGCGCGTCCGTGGTGTGAGGTCCGGGGTCGACTGATGGCCGGTCACCGAAAAGCAGGTCCGGTCTCAAAGGCACTGGGTCCACAGGTGCTGCCGGTCACCGGACTCGCTCCTGCAGCTGTCGAAGCCCACGAGCAAAAACAGAAGAGCTCACCGAACCGCTGAAAGCTTATGAAAGCTTGTGGCTTCCTCCCACCGGTCGGTGGAAGAACATTGTTCTTACTTTTGGTAGACAGGTATCCTCCAACAGCAAGGGGGGTCCCAGTTCAACTAGTATTAGGATGTAATGGGCGATGACACCAATCAAAGCCACACACTTCAAGGGTGATGCCCAACACTTCCGTTCCCCATCACCTCAATAGCCCTAGAGAAGCGACAAGGTTAGCTAGTGCGCTTTCCCCAAAAGGAGCCACCTGGATTCTTTGAGCCTTTCATTCCCCACAGTCCACCTTTCACAGTCCACCTTTCAGCATTGGAAAGGACTGGACGACTGTTTATAATCAAATGTTTGTCTTTCTCATCCCTCCTCCCTCGCAGGCGCTGCCGCTCCGGACGCCGGAGTGGCCGAGTCAAGCGAGTGGGATGAATCTGGGCGTCCTCTACCCGCCCCGAATTCCCAACGAGCGCCGGGAGACCAAGAACTGAGGGAGACCTGGGATGGGGTGGGAGACGTCTCTTGTGGATGAGTTGTGGATGACTCAATTTCTGCCCCAACAGAGAGACAGAGAGGTCCTGGTTACAGTGCCTACTGGTTACAGTGCCTTGGGTGAGGCAGGGGCCTGTGAAATGGTGAACAACTTGCGAGAACAACCAACCGACATCAAAGACCATCACTTGTCCCAGTTCAAGAGGAGATAAAAGGTGTAGAGTCGGTGATGGACCGGAGGAAGAGGCCCGAAAACGATCGAACAGGTCACATCGAGGAGCGCCAAACCCATCGGTTTTCCTCCGATCCACGGGACCCCCCCTTTTCGGGGCGCGGCTGGAAGCCTTGCGATGAGAACGACATCCTTCACTTCGGACCCAAACCGGTACCCATCCCGACCCATCCATACCCACCCCCCTTGGGGATGAGCCTCTGTGTTGATGTGCCATGCTTCTTTTTTCTTTTCAGTGCTTGTCCTGTCGACTTTTCAGAGATCGAGTGACGTTGAACTTGCGTGCCTTTTTGTGTTTTGGACAGGGTGAGGCCGTTTCTCTTTCTTTTTCCCTACTTCGGTTCGAGCAATTGGTGACCCCTTCGGTTCCGGCCGTCTTCGCGGAGGCGCCCGGCGAGATGAAAGCAGCCCGCAGAGCCTGGACGGGAGAGACGTCGTCGGTGGCTGCGGCGCGATGGAGACACCTCACAAAGCCAAGTCACCTTCCAAAGCATGGCAGTTTTATACATCCCCACATCCCAGTTGATCGAATACCATCTTAGCTACAGGGATCTTGGGCGAATTTCGCCCAATCGCGGACCTTTGCAGACTTCTGATCCCGATTGGCAGATCTCGGTCTTCCTGCTTCCACATGTTTTGGGGATCGCTGATCTTTTTCAAGGGAGCCTTCCGCTCGGGCGTTGCTCGAAGGCTTTTGCCAAGCTCGATGCACCATCGAAGCGACCTGTTCTATCCTTTCGGAGCTACCGAGCCCCCGACCCGTCGAAGGCTCTCGACACAGCCACAAGGCATGTTTCGTCTTGGCAGAGAGTACATACACGCCGCGACACGTTTAAACAATCCCCTGCCGAATAAACCCTGAATCTGGGACGTGGAGCTCAAAAAGACCATCAGATTTTAAGACACTGTTTCTCTAGAATGAGATATCAACCTACCTGAAAAGAAGCTAGCCTAAAAACCGGTGCATTCACAAGTTTAATTATTTTTCATGATGCCCAATAGGTTGAGCTATTCCATGTTATAGAGAAGGCATGAACATGCACCAGATTTTTATAGAGGCTGTAGGTTTTGATTTTATAGATAGCATCCCTCTATAAAATCACTGTTTTGACACATCGACTCGACTGTTTTTTTTGCTTTTCTGCTTAACCTTCTTCTAAAATCAATTTCAACCCTGCAGTGTCCAAACATGTCTCTATAAAATCACAATCAACCTCTTGTGCCACGTTTGTCCAATCATTTTCTAAAATCGGTTTCAGCCTTCATATTTTTTGCATCAACATTTCTTGAGGACAACAATTGCTTTGCTCGAAAGGTTGAGCTGAACAATTTTATAGGGAACAGGTTCTCAGGACTGCAATAGGTTGAGATTTGATTCTATTTGAGGTTGGTTTTTCGTGTCCTCACTCTAGAATCTGATTCCCGACATTCACCGCTCATTCCACGACGGGGATTTGAAACATGTGTGACACGCACTGGGGATTTGTTGTGCCTGCATGCATCACCAGCTGAAGTTGTTCGGGAAGACTTGGAGCTTTCTGCATCTCAGAGGTCCAGCCCGGGCGCCTCCGAATCCAGCAAGGCTAGAGATGAACATCCACGCAACCCCACCCAACAGCTTCGTGAATCCCTTTGGGAGTCGCCCATGGATTCCTACACCCCCGGCACCGTGAACAACGCAGGACAGCGGCCCCTCGAGAGGCATCCCCGCACGTGCACTGGTGCCCGCACCGATGCCTACGAGCTGTGTGCCAGTCAGATGGCCCAAGCTCGTGCTGTGTGCTGCGCCTTTTTGAGATGTTCTTTTCAGAGTTGCGAGCGGCAGCTTTTTTTTTTTCTGGAGTATATGATTCCCTCCTGGAATCATGGATGGCCATTCCTCTGACTAGATATGGCTCCAAACCGACCCTACAAAAACCTGGTTTTGGACCCAATGACCCTTCACCAGGAGGTCGATTGGGCCTCCGACTTTTTGGGACGCTGAGGTCCCGAGCTCGGCGATCGCCCGCAGGCGGGGTGCTGGGGGTGCTGGGGGCGCTGTGTTCGATCCCGGTGAAGAGGGCGTTGAGCACTGCAATAGGTCCAATAGGCTAAGAATTCGATCCCAATTTTGGGAACCAGTGGAGGGGCAGATAGAGAATTCATGTGAATTCTCTATCTTCGATCAGGCACTTCTCCCAAGTTGTGCATGGCTTCCATCCACCGTCTGCGCCCCACCGGCCTGGTGAACGAAGAAGACCGCAAAGAAGCAGTGGTTCAGCCAGAGCGGTGTGTCAAGCTGTTTCCCCGAATGAACCCACATGGAATCTGAAGACCACTGATGTCTAGGGGACATTGGTGTCCCAATGCTTCAGCTCTCAACATCTGTGGGGGTTGCGTGGCGCTTGAACGAAAGGCGCAGCGACAACTCTGAACCCCACCCAGGATGGGAATCGGTCAATTCTCGAAGTCCTGGGTATTTGATGCATCATTGCTTGACCCCAAGCCGAAGGAACCCCGGCCATTTTGGCCGTGGTAGGAGATCACTCTACTACCCTGCTTGGTAGGGAACCTTGAACATCCCCCCAGCCCATGCCAGGCATGGGCGAAAGGCCTCCAGCCACACCATTGGCTTCGGCTCCTCGATGTTCCTTCCAATCGCGGCGCAGTGACCCTGCGCCAGGGATGAGGAGCCTTGGCCCGGCCGGACGGTGCACATCTTCAGGCGCGTCCACTCGTTGCGGAGTGGACGGACTTCCACAGGGTGGGAACACCATGTTTCGCGATGACCACCTAGGGGGTTTCTATAGATGCCCTCCCCAAAAGTGTTGAGACGCCTTTGGAATGCCGTTGCAATGACTGCTTCTTTCTGGGGCTAGATTTGGGATCCAGTTGGACGTCGCCCAAGCAGTTTCCCATAGTTTCCCTTTCATGTGAGTTAGGAGTGAAATGAGGATTTCATTTGATGTGTCCTACAAATCCAGGGTTGTTGAGTCCTTGAACGCTTTTGTTTTTCGGGTGAAGACAGTTTGTTTTTTTCCTGGCAGGCTGCAATCCATGAACGAACCACGAGCGGTGGATCTGTTTTTAGCCAATTCTCCGGTGGTGCCCCGCCACCATACCGCCACGGTTGTTGCACGTCTTCATGGTGCAACAACCATGAAGAGACACAGCATCGGCCATCTGGATCCGTTTGATCATGGTTGATTTATTGAATCACTTCCGGAGTGACACGAGTTCGTGCATCCAGCGGGTTTTTGACGACCCAAAGAGGTGGAAAAAGGGAATTCCTTTTCCTTTCAGATTTGAAGGATCACAGCTTTATTGTGACGTTCGTAGCGGCCTCCAACCCACTGCAATAGCGATGGCCTCCAATTCGTTGGTTTTAGCTTCTGACAACGAGAGTTCAGGTCCTGAATCCTTCACCCTCGGACGTGCAACCGGACCGAGGAGATCGCCCGATCTACACCGATCGGCCAGGTGTGCGGAGCACCCCGAGGAGCCAGCGACCTACTTCTGTGCCTCGACTGGCGACTGGCGACTGCTCGACTGGCTCACCGGGTGGGAAGGAGTGCACCATGTCCCAACATATTCCATCCTTTCTTCCGGAAGGAGTTCCCGCATGTTCCAGATGTAGAACAAGAACACCCTTCATGGATTTGAGCCGACATGAAGGGTCCTATTTTCAGCAACGTATTTGAGCGGTGACTTCCGCAAATACAGGACCCCGTGTGCTTCTCTCATCGTTCTTCCAAATCAACCGATCTGAACTCATCGTTCCATCCCCGAGTGCGGATGCCTCGAAAAGGTGGTTGCTCCTAGTAGTAAGGCCAGGAGCCCCGTTCGTAGAGTCCTTGCTCCTAGTAGCGATGCCCTTTGCTCCTAGTAGCGATGCACTTGTTTCTAGTAGCTTCTTGTTCCCAGTAGATGAGTTCAAGGAGTCCGCTCACGTGCTCTGTCAGCCGGCCATCAGCCGTCAGCCGTCTGAGGCGCCACCTGCGAGTGCCAATGCATTTGTGCGGACGCTGAACCCAAAGAAGCGGGCCGGGCCAGTGGCTCTGGGTTTGGTGAGTTGTCGAGGCAATCACTGGTGGGGTCACTTTGACATGTTTGTCTTCTGAGAAACACGTGGAAACCAAACAGCCACAGTATCACGCCGCATGGACAACAAAATCGAAACGACTCGTAGACAGAGGCGTGCCCAAGCCCAATCTGTTTCAAGACAAGGCACCTTGAATTGCTGGTCCTCGATTCTCAGAGAGACATCGCAGAATTATATATATACACATGCATATATATATATGTATATTATATATATAATATGTACATATATATATATATATATAATATATCTATCTATAAATGAAACAAGTCAAATCTTGTCGTTGCAGCAGACGCCGATGGATCAGACAGACACGACAGATCTCCAAGATGTCCTGGAGTTCGGGGATCTCGAAGATGTCCTGGAGTTCGGGGATGTCACAGATCTTCAAGATGTCCTTGAGTCCAGGGATGTGACAGATCTCACAGTGACGGATTTGGCCGAAGGGCATACCTCCAGAGAAGCTGGTGTCTCATGGTCATCCGAAACCGATAGCTGTGATAGCGAGGTGGACAGGACCCTCAGCATGACAGCGACAGTGAGCCTGAGCTTGATCTTGAAGCCCGAACTCTTGCGTGGGACGCCTCTTTCTGTGGCTCTGAGTGGCTTTTGCAAATATTGGGCCGGATTGAGCTCCGGACCAGGCAGAGCTGCCTTGTTCAACTTGAGTCGAGCTGTTCTGTCTATTGACGTCTTCCTGAGCCATGATTGGGAGACGTCACGCTGGATGAAGCTATTAACTCTCGTGCTCTACTTCAACTCCCACGCTGCAGCCATAGCATCCTTGCTCTCAAGCCTTGTGATCGGTGTCGCCAAGACACAACTGGGGAGCAGCATTTGGCAACACGATCTCTGGACCTTCTCCTGCTACCCTGTGTTTCTGGTCTTTCTTTTCTTCTGGCAGAGGATCCGGAGCTGCTTTGCATCACCTTGGATGGTTTTCCTGGACAAACTCTGCATCCATCAAGAGAACGATGAGCTGAAACTGCTGGGTATCCTCGGTCTTGGAGCCTTTGTCCGCCGATCCAACAAGCTTCTGGTTTTGTGGTCCAAAAGAACCTTCGGTCGCTTGTGGTGTGCCTATGAGATCGGATGCTTTCTGAGCGGTCGGCCCCTGGAGCAGGAGCAGATTGAAATTCTTCCAGTCACGGTCGCTGCCATCCTATTTTTGATTTCGGGTCTGTGGCATGTGGTGATTTTCAGCTTTATCTGGTCGCTCTCCGCTTTTGATGGAAACTCCATGTCAAATCTCGTCTTCTTGTGCGGCATCTTCCTTCCGTGCGTCTGCCTTATACTACCTCCTGTGAACTACTTGGGTCTAGGTCTGATAGATGATTTGGACCAGCTACCCCAGCAATTGAAGAGCTTTCAAATACAAGCCTGTCAATGTTTCTGTTGTAACAACAGTCACAAACATCCAGAAACTGGTGCTGAGATGATCTGTGACCGTCAGCTGGTCTACGAGTCGCTGGCCTCCCTCTACACCAGGCAAAGTGAACATGGATCAGACCCATTGGACTGTTTCAACAGGCGTGTCCGGGAGAAGTTGAGGCCTCGGATTCTCCGCAAGCTGCGTCTCAACTTTGGCCTCAGATACATGGCGAGCTTAGTGTGGGTCAGCAACTTGCCCGAACTGTCCCTGATCATTTGGGACATCAGCCGGGGCCCTGAGGTGCCAATGTCCGGCTTGGACTATGCCGCATGGTGTGCACGGCTCCTCTTACACTGGGCGCACTTATTCGTTCTGATGGCTCTTTCCTTGACGTTCTCAAGGCATTTGTGGAAGTTGCGGAAGCTCCCCTTCTTCCGAGCTCGCCGACTCCTGTGCTCGATATGTTTGGCCCCAATCCAGGTCATCCTGATTGGAGCATTGGAGGCGAGTATGGAGCTGACATTGGCGATGACTGGGGAGAACAGTTTCCTGCCGCTGTTGCCTTTCCTGCTGGAACTTTCCCTCAATATTTTCTTGCATTATTTGTGAGCACCTCATTTGGGTTGTTTCAGACCCGATTTTGATTTCGGTTGTGGGCCGCCGGAACGGGTGTGTATCCGGCCGGCCCGGCCACTGACTCGCTCCAGTCGCCTAGTCGGGTGAAACCCCGTCGCTCCACCGATTTGAAGATCAGCGCCCTGCGTCCAAGACTGCGGTGCCGCTGGAACGGTAGTTGCGACGGTGTTGGAAAATGCTGGACCGTGTGCCTGGGGTGTGTGTGGGAAAGGGTCATTCTGCTCAGCATCCATGGCTCTCATGAAGTTGGGAGCCTTCAAACGACTGCAGGTTTTGATGGCCACTGGGCCGGGTCCACTCCTTCGTAATTGGAAGGTCCATCACACTTGTTGGATTTGCAAAGAACCCACTCAGACCTAGCACGTTGACCGGCGAAATGGTTAGGCTCTGGGTGCCCCTACACACCTTGTGGCCACGGGTGTTTCGTGCAGCTTGGATTTTCTTTCATCGCTTCAGCACTGAGGAGTGTGTCGTGCAGAAAGATGGCCGGCATCGTGATCACGAGGCCCGTCATCCTCGCTCCTTAAAAGCGGCATTTTTGGTGCATCCGAGATCGGTCAACGCGGGTATCTTCCATTTGGAGTCCAATAGGTGAAAGCTTTGGTTCCCTTTTTTGTCTTTCGTCTCGACTCGAACTTTGAAGACCGATTGGACTCGCTCACTCCTGGGTGCCCTCGTTGCAGGTCCGACTCGCCCCTGCCGAGTCTGGCGATCAGTCAAACCGCTGCGACGTTCCGAACGCCGTGGATCTCGGTGTCAGGTGATGCGCGTGGCCCGAGCACATGAGGTGCGTGGGACAAGGGTGCCGCGTGGTCCGGCTACGGCGCTGCATGAATGAGGGGAGATCCACTGGAAAAGATCTTCATTTGGTGTTTGAACAATTGGAACATCGGAAAAGAAGCGCCATCCTTCATCTGGTCTTTCCTAGTAGCCCTTTTCTTAATGTCTTGGATCTGCTCCTTTCAGGGCGGTTTTTTTCTGAAATCCCGACGTGAACCGGACGTGAACAGGTCCTGAAATCCCGTGCTGGCGCCTTGCTGGACGAAGCGGTGGCACTGGAGGCAACCCGATGGTGCCAGATGCTGAATGGTCAGGGGTTAGAGATGGTGCCAGTGGTTTAGAGATGCTTCAAGAATGTGTTTTTGTGTTTTCAGGAGATTCTTTGCGGAATCCTTGAACTTTTGTTCAGCTTTCTTAATACCCAGCTGATCTTCTTTCAGCTTGGTGTATCGTCCGGAGGAAGGAATAAAGCGAGCAATCAAGCATACTCAGGGTCTCAACACATACATAACAACAATTGTACATACAGACATACACACACCGACGTGTTTTTTGCGCCAGTGGGGTGACTACTCTTCCTCCCTCACAAAATGGGGGTCCAATTTTCAGTGGTTCCCACCATATGGAGTTTTTGTTCAACCCGTATTGTCAGCGTTTCGGGTGGTGGGCCCCAAGAGTGGCTGTTTGACTTGGGTTTAAAGGCCAGCGGGATTCGTTCTTTGCTTTGACGGTATACCTGTTTGAGACGGGCCCCGGGATAACATCCGAACAAGGACTGGCAGGTTTCGCTGCAGAGACGCTTTCCAACTTGCTAGGATGACTTTGCCATGGTCGGGGACCGGATTGCGTGGCGCCGCAAGGAGAATGGGAGAGGAACGGCCAGGGTTGAATCCAACAATTGGCTGTGGCTTAAAGAGGTCAGACTCAGGAACCCCATGTGGCAGTTGTGGCAGGTCCACTCTTCCATCGAGGTGTTTTGGGTGTTTGGCCTATTTTTGAGCCATGGCCATAGTGACTATCCGACTATCCTATAGTTCTTGTTTGATGTCCTTGCGCAGCCGGCATATCTTTTTGAGTCGCTCTTATTGACAAGTAGCGGAGCATGCAACGTTGAGAACGGATGGGGAGTTTGGCATGTTTCTTTTGGATTGCACTCTACCAAACAGGACGAACCACAGAAACGGTGCAGACATCGTTTGCGTAGAGATACCTCCAGTCCAGGGGATTCGTGCAGCTTCTGGATTGGTCCAGAGGGCGTTCTGTTTAGGTTGCATTGATTGATTGGAGTAAACATTGTCCTGTGGTAAGCTGTCATACTTTGAAGGAATGCATCCCGACTTGTGACATGGGTGGTCAAAGCTTACCAACCGCCCAGTGATTCCGCAAACACCATGCTTACTCCAAACATTCTTGACTCACTAGGTTGGAGGCCATCGCTAGTAGGTTGCCACCACAGGACATCGAGCGCGCCGCAGCCCGCGGCCGTGCGAGCGTGCGCAGTGCCTTCGCGCGGGCGCCGCCCCCAGGGAGTAGGATGAGACGAGGGCGTGAGATGTGGGTTGGGGAGGGTCGCAAGTGTGGTAAAGCTACGAACGGAGCATTTCGGGCCTCGCGTCTCGAGTCCGGAGCGATCGGACGCGAACCGAAACGGGGCTCCTGGCCTTACTACTGTATAGTAAAAAGAAGCTACTAGGAATGTAGCCATGGTCTAAGTTCTATTGGTCCATATAGGTCCATTGCACCTGCACGTGCAGGGGTTGAAATGCCCGGCCACGTCTCTGAAAAAGAGAGAGGTTGTTTTTCTAGCAGCTTGTGCAACCAGCATTTGTTGCATCTTTCTCTTCCAGGAGTTGTTCCATGCAAGTGGGGAAACGATCAGCTCCTGAACCCACACGCTCCAAGCAGTCCTTCAATACCTTTGAGACCCCAGACCCCTCCATATGTGGGTGCCATCCCTCTTTTTGAGGGTCCATGATATTGATTCTCTGCTTCTGCGATGCGGAGTTCACGAATCACCAAACCAGCACCAGTGTGTTCCAGGTGCGCGCGCAACTCAATGAACGTGAAGCGGAGCTGTTGGAGTTTGGGTGGCCCAGAACACTGGATCAAGCGCTGTTCACATGAATCAGGGCTGTTCACATGCAAAGCTTCGCGGGCAAAAGATGTGGGGGGGGCGGACGCAGCTTGGAACATGGAACGTTATATAAAAAACCTGTTTGTTCGTCTACACCCTGGTAGACTACCATGGACCCTGAAAACCACTGGTTGGTAGAGGAAAGCTATTTTTCAGGGGGTCATTGTCAGGGTCTATGTTAGTTTTCGGGGTAAACCGTTCCACTTCCCAGCTTGGCCCTTGGGTGGCTGGAAGCCACTCGTGGCTGGGCCATCGAGTGCGACCGACATCCTCCTGGGTCTCTCGCGAGCTTCGACCGTCTTCCACTTCCAGCACAGTGGGTCAGTGGGTGCAGCCTCTGAAGAAGATGGTCATGTAGGGTCTCAATCATTTAGCATCAAAGCCCAGGTGTATTAAAAGTCAAGCAGCCGCAGGGCCGCGGGTCTTGATGGCGTGTTTCGGGCCATCCGGCACTTGAAACTGAAATTTGTTACTACTAGTAAGGCACTTTGTTCCTAGTAGCGAACCTTGTTACTACTAGTAAGGCACTTGTTACTAGAAGCGATGCACTTGTTCCTAGTAGCGAACATAGTTCCTGGAGTGGAAAAGATGAACAAAACAGTTCCCATGCATTTCCTCCCCATCATCCACCCCCAAAAAAACCAGGCTCTTCCACAAGGTGCTGCTCTCCATTTGCGTCTCCACCGCTCTCCAGGTCCTTGGACGCCTACGAGACGGGCTCCTTGTCAAGCCTTGACACTGGAGCGGGTCACCGTGGATTCCACAAGCGACTGGGGCCGTTTGGTCTGGACCTAGCAAGCCTCTTGCTTTTCACCGGGTGGAATGAGCAGTCAGCTGAGCGAAAGGATTTGCTTTCCGAGCAGGCACTCTTCCAGAGTAGTCACCGGCACTCCCGTCTGCAACGGATGGATGCGACTCGAACTCTGGACACTCTTATAACACGAAGAAGACGTTGCCTCTCAAGATGAAGACGTTTTTGAAACACCACACTTTCCGATGCGGTGGCGCCTGGGTTTGGTCCTCTTTCTTTCAGCCAGGACACACGGAGTACGGTGTGCGGCTGACCGAGCTCCGTCGGCTTCAGGAAGGGGTGGACAGTGAAGGTCATTCGAAGTGCTGGTACACCCAAGAAGCCAACAAAGATGAACAACTGTTGCATCTCTTCTTTTGTGGGACGACGGTCGTCTGCGCTTTTCTTTTTCTTTGGACGACGGTCACAAGAAAAAGACACGCCAAAATCTGATTGGAGGTCGAACGTACCACCTCGGTTTAGATGGAGGCTACGGATGCTTCGACCTGCAAAGCTTCACCGTCCTTTGTGCAGGAGAACCTCCGTGCTCGTTGCCGGAACGACGGCGATGCGGTGGAGGTCCAAGTCTTTGGGCATCGCTGGAGGTCAAAGTGTCGGAAGATAAGGGTGAACTCCTAATTGATCCATATTGATCCTAATTATATAGTATCAGAACAGAGAGATAGAACACAACTACCCCTTGGGCCAGGGGGGGCGTTCCTCGTCAAATTCCAACCCATATGATACATGTGAATACATGTGAATCACACCTGGTTTGCGTTTGGTCCAGGCACTACCACCGAACTGGAACAGTCCTTCAATTTCATGCTGTTGTAGTCTTTCAACCACCGTGGTCACCGGTCGCTCCCCTTGTCCTCACCCGAAGCAGCCAGCCCGATCCCTTGTTGATGGCACAGTGCCTGGCCGTAACCTTTTTGAAACATCATCCAGATTGAAGTTGCTTCTAACCTAAAAGGAATCGCCTCCACCCTACTAGCGATGGCTTCCAACTGTTTTCTCTGAAGTTGCTATCGACGATCCACTCCTAAAGTTCGTTTTCCTTGAGCATCTTGAGCTACTTCGCACGATTTCCTTCATTCCAAAGGAACGTCTCGCGCAAAATCTGGATGACCCGTTCACTGGGCGCTTCAGATGGTCCTGATAAAGGTGAAGATCAAGGCTAGGTATATAATCCAGAGAGGCCTGATACGGAGACGCTGGAGAACCAACATCCACACTACAACCGACCGAAACAAGCAGCGGACGCTTTCCCTTCCGCTGGCGCTCCTGGCGTGCCGCGCCGTGCAGGCATTGAACACCTACTCCGCAGCCAAGGCGGCGATCGCCAGCTGGCGCGAGGCCTTCCGCCAGGCGTGGGGTAATCACCCGCGGTGGCAGGGTGTGACGCCACCGGGTTTGGGCTGGAGGTGAGTGCAGGGTTGTGTGGATATAGATTGATGTTGAGGGTTTAGGGAGGGCACTGTGAGAAAGATTTATCGATTCCTTATGAAGGGTGGCTGGTTCAATCCTTTACAGAATGAAGATCAGGTTGGACATGGTCTCATCTCTTTACTTGACATGCTCTGACTTCGAAGAATGGACTTCCGGTGTCCTTCCTCCGCACGAGACCGGTCTGGATCCTTCAGCTGCCGGTTCGAAGTGGGATGGAAGGAAGCCTCGAAAAGGTGACCACACCATGAAAGCGATGCTACTCACACCATGAAAGCCTTCCCTTTCACATCCTTTCACCCTTCAAGAACACGTTGATTGATCTTTTTTCTCAACCCGATTGAGCCGACGAGTGAGCTGGACTCGAACTTCATTCTTAGTGGGCAGAATCATCCGATGAGTCTTCCCAGTGTTGCTTCCTTTGCCGCACAACCCGTGTTTGGCAGGAGGAGTTCAATGCCGCACCTCCCGATGAGTTTGTTGGCCTGGCCGGCAGGCGGTGAGCGGTTTTCCTCGCGCGAGCGCTGTTGTCTCTGGGGCGATGGTCGAGCCGCTGGATGCACAATGAGTTGAAATGCTTGTGATGCTTGATGGATCTTGATGGCAGATTCGGTAGTTTTTCAGACCTTTTCTCTCGATGTTGGCTCGTCTCTTGTCCCCGAGATTCTGTGTGAAGAACGGACAGCTGGTCACTTAGATGGGTCTTAGGCTACACTCATGACACTCATGGCTTTCTCTTCCGGACATACTGCCCCTTCTCTGGGTTTGGGGCCATAAACAGAGAGGTGTACTCGACTCGTTGTGGCTGTCCGACCCACACAGACCTCTTCGCATCTCCGCAGTGCACGAGCGGAGCTGGACGTGCATGCCGAGGGCTTGGCGAGCCTGGAGGAGGTGGGGGAGAGCACGGGGAGAGCAGCTCGAAGCGATGCCCTTTCTTCCGTTCGTAGCGGTCCGAACGCTCCGTTCGTAGTGGTTTTCGAGTGGTTTGGAGATCCTTGAACTCATTCATGGAGCCAAAATAGCAGCCCTGCCAGGCCCGAGTTAACTGACGGTCATTCTCAAACTACCAACCGACCTAGTTGAATGGAATCTCTGCCTGTCATGTTCATGTTCTCTCAAGGTTGCAGCTCTTCGCCTCATTTACCATTTCTCCCTGATAGCTTCAAGATGCTTCAAGGAAAATCTGAAAACATATACTATATACTATTATAAATATCATATTATGGTGTCTGACTTCTGAACCAGGCTCTGATCGCAACTGTTCGCTTTGAACCCTGAGAATCCTTGGGCTCCGCGTGTGGTCCGGAGCCGCAACTGCATTTTGCTTTCTTATCCCAAACACTATCTGCCTGGAGCAGTCAATGCGTGTCGTTCCGACAAAACTGAACAGATGCTCTTGGTGGGTTCAATTCTTCTCCAGGCCGTCGCCAGTTTGTGCGAGCGTGGCGTGGAAGATCGGGCCAAGGTGGGGCGCAAGTTTCGCGCGAAGACGTGGGCCGCGGAGGAAGGGATGAAGACTGAACACATCTGAAACGGATACATGTACTGCCGAGCGATCTGGCTGGAGGGTTTTAGGGTTTAGGGTCCCTGGCTTTGCATCGCAGATGGTCAATCTGGTAGCTTTGATGTACAGTATGTATCAGTATGGTATCACCAGATTGACCAGCTAGCTTGAAATGTAACAGCTTCACTATGTATCAGTATGTGAAGCGTAGAAATGGGGAGGCTCAAACCAATCACATCACACGCTCCGAGGCCTCGACGGCTTCCAGTGCCTATGGGAGGCGGGTGCACCCGCCTGCCTGCTGGCTGCGGTGACCGGTGGACTGTGTGGTCGCACTTAGCACCAAAGCCTGTTGCAGGAAACGCGGTCAATCTCGCTAGCCCGAATTCAGAGGTTTTTGTGACCCTTGAGGATGATGGAGACGTCCTAGCCCCAGCCACCCTAGCCTTGTATTGAAACAACGTCATGCCAATTTCTCAGTACTTCCATGTATGTACTTCCACCCTTTTTGGGCCAAGCTAGGCTCGCTTTTCCCCCAACCAGCCCAGAAGCCCAGGCTAGGATAGCGGTTGGCTTCTTCCACCGCACGTCGCCCCCTGCAGGCCCCCCCCCCAGCGCGCCAGCGGCTCCTGGGCCTCCGACCTTTTCGCTGCCGGGCGACCTGGGACAGCGACAGCACGGGTGAAGAGGATCAAATATGGCAAGTGACGCTTGTTTTTTCATGAAAGGGGTCCCTTAGTGACGTTGGTCTGACCTGGTCTATGTTGGGCAGGGTGGATGTTCATACTCTTGATCGCCAAGATTGAGCAGCAGATTGGTGGAGCAGCCTCATAGAACATTAGAAGGTACCAGAGCATGGATGGAATTGCACAGCATCCTGGTGCATTCTTGCAGCAGGTGGAGATAAGTGGAGCACTTTGACAAGTGGAGCATGCTCTATATTGTGAGGTTCAGCAAGGCAATCACCGTGCTTTCTTGGCTTTCACCCCCAAAGCGATGCGTCCGGCCGGCCCTTGGACCACCTGATTCAAGTCTACACCCTTTGCGAAAGCTCGAGCGTCACTGAGGCGGAATGGCGGGCATTTTCCTGAGCGCAGATAGAGCGGCGGCCGAACGGCTTCGGGCCAAACATGCTCTGGATGTGCGGCGACCTCTTTTGCTCATCGCAGTCAGATCAATTGGGCCCCCCTATCGCTACTAGGAACAAGAAGCTACTAGAAACAAGAATTAAATTGCAGGGAACCCCATCAAGCAGATCGCCGCCCCCGCCCATCCCAGCTTAAGCTGGAAGGTTTCGAGGCGAGGGTAGCTCCTTTGTACCTCAGTTGCCCCCAGTCTGATGTCTTCGGAGGCTGAGAGAACCCGTAACCAGTTTCCTTTGACCAGACTCGCAACCGAGAGTTCAGCCCATTCATCTCGTTCAGGTTCTTGGGACCCTTGGGCTACGAACGGAGCGATCGGACGCTAGTAGAAGACCGCACATACCCTTGGACCTGTTGTTCCTTTTCGAAAGACATCGCGGGGAACCCGTTGAATTCGGAGTTCGACTTGGTGGGCAGCGCATTGGCCAACGTGGTCTGATGGACCGTGATTGTCGGAGTGCCATTGGCAATCCTTTGAAAAAGCCTCTCGCGGTGGGGCCATCGCTACACTCACACTGCCGTTTCAAAGGCACCACGTCGGGCCACGGTCGGGCCACGGTCCGGCCACGGTCGCCCCGGGGCCTTGTTCTCGTCAAAGCCAGGAAGTTTGGACACGCTGATGGGAATCTCCGTCCAAGCTCATTTGTCAACCCCCCACCCAAAAAAGAAGACAATAAGTAAAACTTGGTTTTAAAACAACAAAACTGCAACCTGTTGTTATTGGGTGGACAACCTGTCGTTCAAACGGGGGGGTCCCTAAGGGTTAGATCCGAATGCCGGGTCGGACATATCTGGGACTTCGACGTAGCAAGGAAACCGCCGCTATGCTCGGTTGGAGGCCATCGCGTAGCGAACGTGACAAGGGCGCTACGGCCGCATGTTCCATGCAGAAGTGCACTTCCCTCCACTTCACGCTTGACACCGAGCGTTCACGATGTGCAGAGGGCGAGACTTCTTCACGCGGTGGCGATTCAACGGATCCACGTTGACACCCAGACCAGCCAGGTGACCAGCCAGGTTCCTCCAACCCTGTCAGATCTGACCCAAGACCAACCGCAGAACCGCCCCGCCCCGGTTTGGGCTTTCGCACTCGCAGCCTCTTGACGGTTCGGCCGCCCCATGTTACGCAATGAGTCCATGAGCGATGGGTCGACAGCGTGCCAAGCGGAGCACGCCGCAATCACTACACTAGCATTGCACCTGGGCCGGTGGGGGCTTTGATGTCCGAAGATGTTGACCTTTTCTCTTTCTTTCGGAGGAGGTGGTGGGGAAGACGACATCAAGAGGGGAATGGTGGTTTCTTGATAGACAACCAGCATCTATGCAAAGAGGCAATTCCAGGATTTTACATTTGTTTAGGAGAGTTTCTCGTTAGCGGTAACGTGTGAGAGAGAGAGAGAGAGCGAGAGAGACAGAGACAGACTGACTCTATGGCCCTGCAAGACAATCCCAGTCCGCGCATCTCTGATAGGTCACTCACGGGCGCAGCTTTTGTTGGGTCTATAGAAGCGAGCCTTTATGGCTCGCTTTCTCCACATACAAAGGGCATCGCTACTAGGAGCAAGGACGCTAGTAGTAGCTCCTGGCCTTACTACTAGGAACAAGACGCTACTAGTAACAAAGGGATACAACGGGCATTTCTACGGACGGAGCGATCGGACGCTAGTAGAAGACCGTACATACCTTTTGTATCCAGTCTTCCCTTTTGTGGTGTTATGTAAAGATTCGTTCGAGGCGAGGTCTAAGCAGGACGTACACAGTGGAGACGATTTTACAAATCCTGGATTCAGCGACGGCATTCCGGAAGACCTTTGACTTCCTTTACTTGCCGAAGCGAGGAGACCAGAGAGAACAAGCGAGGTGACGCGAGTGACCTGAGTGGGAAGAGTATTTCGGAAACGGTCTCTTTGGTGTTCTCTTTGGTCCTACCCTTTCGGCAGGCTTGAGAGAAGCTACTAGTAACAAGGGCATCGCTACTAGTAACAAGGTGCCTTACTGCTAGTAGCTAGAAGCTACTAGTAACAAGGTGCCTTGTGTTGCAACTGCTTTTGGAGTTCAGAGCAGACACGGCCGATCCCGCTCTACCCGTAGCACTAGTAGCAAGGACGCTACTAGTAGCTAGGGCATCGCTGGAGGGCTCAAAGACATCCCCGGCAACTTGGTTGGGGAACCTGCCGGGAGTTTGCATGATCTTTCTTTTGAACCACCACTGGGTGAAAGGATGGCACCAATTCTTCTGATCCTTCACCCGCAATTACTTCAGGAAGACCGTTTCTTAAGTACTACTGGGTCTTCAAAACATCCAATTGAGTTTGCCATAAAGCGCTCCTTTCTGTTTTGACCATAAAGCTGGCGAAATCGGGAGGAACTTCGACTGTGTGAGGTGACAGGAAAGTTTTTTTTCATTTTTGAGCCTTCAAGAAGAACACATTTGTCCTAAGGTGGTGTATTGTTGCCATTATTATCATTATCATGTTTATTACTGTATATACTAATTATCATGCTTGATTACTGTTGCTGCTATTTTCGCTATTATGATTGTGTTTGTCATCATGTTTGACCACCTAATGATTTTCGCTTCTTTCTGATGTGTTCCTTCGCACATGCAGTGGTGCTTGACCGGCAAGCACTCGGAATGACGCTATGAATCATCCCAGGGTCTTCCGGACAAATTGAGACTGGTGGCTACACACAGTGGAACCAAAAACACATCAAACATGTGGTCCACGCAAAGCATGTTTCACCGGGGCACTCTGCGGATGGGTCACTCTGCCAACCTTCTTTGTTTTGGATGATGTTATACACTATATATACGGTATATCCAGTTCTCAATGCGAGTACCAAGACTTCAGCATACAGGTGCTTGGCACGAGGCACGCGCAAACTGCGTTTGGGCAGTCCGAGGGGCGCCCGAACGGGAAACAGACAGTTAAATCGTGCTTTTTATCTATATTTGTTTGTGTGTTGATGGAACACGGATTGCAAAACGTCACCAGGGTGTCTCCATTTCAAAGCCAACCAGCATTTTTTTGTCGGGTGACTCGTTACCTTCATGATTCACTTCGGAATGGCCCCTTCTTGCTCCTTAGACTTCGATTAGATACTTACACCTTCGGAAGGGCTTGCTGTTGCTTTCCGCAGGAGGGCAGCCACATGCTGGACTGGCCATCGTGAACTTCGTAGACGAAGATTCTTGCAGGCAATGCTTGGAGAGGCTATTGAAGATGCGCGAAGAAGGGCTGCTCAAAGGAATCAAGAGCATCGGGCAGTCCTACATCCAAGGTTTCTCGCGGACGCTTTGGCACTGGGCGCCGTCGACCAGCGGAGTGCGACGCGGTCGACCCGGAAGCGAGCGACCTGCGCCAGAAAACTGTTCTGAAGAGGATCATTGAGACACTCACTTGGGGCGCACTCTCCCATGCTTTGCAGGATTCAGGTGAAACCCTCCACTCTGTAGTTAGTGGGAGCAAACCACGAGAATCATAAACATGAGGTCCCCAACCGTCCCTTTAGGTGGCATCCATATTTGTTGGATTTTGTTGGAAGATGTCGCCTTTCCATTTGGATGACTTTTCCTTTGGACCCACGACCCTGGTTCTCATGTTGCCAGCCCCGTTGCTTGCTGTGAGACGAGGAATTTAGCATACTACGCGGTCCTTGCCACAGATCGTCGTGCTACAGATTCCCCAATGATTTTCGAGCCTTGGTGCTTCGTTGGTGTTTTGGTGTCAACAGGTGCAATGTTCGCTGCAGATTCAAGATCGGCCCCGACGGTGGGAGACCCATCTGAAGGAGTTTTGGTTCGCTGCAGATGGACAGTTTTCCAACAGCAAGTGGGTCCCTGTGGCCTTTAAAGGCATGTAAGTGCTCCTGAAGCTTCATGATAGACATCGGTCTGGGGATGGGGCCGAGCGATGGGGAGGACGGGGCAGACTTTTATCACCCGTCCGATGCCCCCTCAGTTTCATCTCTCTTTGGGTGAAGTTGTAAGACATCCACTGGTCGCGGTTCCAGAGCGATCTCTATTGGTTTCCGATTCAGCAGAGCAGGGCCTTCCTGGCTGATCGAGAAAACGTACTAGTGAGCAGCTTTCCGGAACTAGTAGGGAGCCCTCAAATCCAGAATCGCAAGGCAGAAGCACTTCACTAAGATGGAACATTCAGCAAGAAGACTCAATCCAGCTTCATCGGTTTCCAACTACATGCTTCTCATTTGACCGAGAATTCACGGCGTCAACCAAACCAGATGACCGATGACCAAGGTCCGCTCCACCTCCCTTTTCATCTGGTCCGCACGGACGGCTCCTCAGGAGCGCGGCGAATTGGTCGCAGATCTCTTGCCAGTGATGCAGCGATGTGTGACTCCCCAATTGCTGCAGTGGGCGAGACAGTGTCTTGGCACGGGTGAACCCGACGCTGCAACGGGTGGTTCCTGCAAACGGGTGAACCCCGCGGTTCTTTATGGGACAGGGCGGATGGAGTTTGGGACATTGCGCGTTTTCGGAGAAAGATGGAGCTCTACATCGGCGCCAGCGGTGATACCCGGCTCCCACCTGCTGGGGTGGTGGCAGTAGGTGCATCGGGCTTGTGCTGGCCGGTGTTTCATAGTGAATCGAAAGCTTTCGAACGTTACGTTCGCTACGCAATGGCCTCCAACGCATAGCGATGGCCACTCCACCGTGCGTAGTTTCGTTCGTCAGGACCTTGGGGTGTTCGGGGATTTCACGGGGGGTTTCGAGCTGGCCGGGTGTCGGCTTCTGAACAGATCAGGTTCGTCCCGCAGCAGAATAGTGGCAGAAGGAACATGGAGATTTGATGAGATTTGTAGTCTTGCAGTCCTTGAAATCATTATGGGAGTGGACCAGTGGAAAGCCACTTGCTCTTTTTTAGAGAACATGGTTTTCTACGGGGCCATGCCATCAACTTCCACGTTCTTCAGCTCTCGGTGAGGGGATTCGTACCGAACCGAACATGTGCCGAGGCAGGCAGAGGCGCGGTGGGCACAAGAGTGGTCCAAAATTGGGTGGAAACGGGTGAAGATCTGAAGCAAAACATCTTTGAACAGATCTTCAGGTGTTGGAAGTTGGTTTTCCATTGTCATAGAAGAAGCAACAACACCCGTCTTCAACCAACTTGGCACGGACTCGTTTTCGCCACTCGTTTCGACTCGGCACCGGGCGGCGACCGGTGGGGTGAAGGTGAAGCGATGCCGACTCTGGGCTGGGACATGCAGGGGCTGAGACGTGACGCAGCGGATGCTGCTGAAGTCATTCATCACGTAAGCCAAGCGACATAAGCGACACGCTCTTGGCGCACGTAAGAGGAAAGAGGGCTGAGACATTGGGCATCAAAGCCCACTGAGTAGGTTTTTGGGGCCAAAGAGAGCGCCGCTTTGCCTCCGCGGCCCAGTTCACGGAGGCGTTCACGGCCAGCCAAGAGGCATGCATCGGTTTTGCAAGATCGAAGATCGATTCTTTTGAGGAATTTGCGCTAGAAGTGTGGCTCGAAGAAAATGAGATCAACCCATAGAACCAGATTCTTTGCTGGTTGGTTGGAGACCATGGCTATTAGGTTGGAGGCAATAGAACCAGGTTCTGTGCTGTCTCCAAGGGTTCAACGGTTTTCTGTTTTCAGCGCGACCAACCTCGCAAGCTCGCCCCACCTCGCCCAAGAGACAAGCAGGTCGATGTGGCCAGGTTTTTTTTGTTTTCGCCGGGCTCTCTCGGGTTGTGAGGCACTCTATGACACAAAGGCAGATGGAGATCTCCTACAGCTAATGCAGCTGGGAGGTCGTGCGTGCAGCCCACATGAGCTGGCAACTGGGTGAAGGATAGGAAGTGTGGGCTGGCTGTTGTGAAAGTGAGGGAATCCGGGTAAGAAATTGATTCCCTCTTTTCATCCTTCCTCACCTCTTTTGGTGGAGTTTTGTTGCCTGGGGAATTTTCCTCTTCCTGAAATCATGAGGAAGAAGAGCAACTTGCCCTTGGTGTTTGGTCACTACTTGTTGACCTTGTGACTCTCATTCTTTTCCTTTTCGCCCTGCGTTTCTCTTCGGCTTCGCCCTGCTTCCAACCGAAGCCGACCGTGCGACCGGGCCTCTCTTCGAAGAGGGAGCGATCGTGCATCGAAGGGGTGGCCAAGGCCATGCGAAAGAACACATTTTGGCGTTTCCTCGTTGGACCGTGGAGGGTCTTGCTGACCAGATTGATGAGCAAACATAGGTGAGGGAGACCTTACAGCAGCGAACACGTCACAGACGTTCTGCAGGACCAGTTCTGCGAACGTTTTGCTTCGAACAGAAGCAGGTGATTGGCAGATTTGGTTTACGCCGGGTCTGGAGTGGATCCCTTCTTCACGCCGGTAAGGGTCAAACGGAGGTGTTGGCGACTGGAACCACTGGGCTCGTTGGCTCTCAGGAGAGGATTCGTGTCCTGCTTGGAGATACCTGGATGGAGCCTCGAACGGCAGAGCAATTCCTCTTCTTCTCCCTATGATCCTGAGCGGACTGATAGTGCTGGCCTTATTCCACTGGTCATCCATCAACGGGGTGCCGAGAGAAGCATCATGATTTGCTGTTGTTTTCCAGCTTGGGAAGAAAACCATCGCTCAAAATTGACTGCACTAATCACCGGATTTTGGTTTGATTCCCCTGCAGGTGGAGTGTTTTTGTATTCTCTTTACTGCGGCATTTCCTCGCGCACCACCGAGAAGGACCATGAAGACCAGGGTTGAGAATGGATGGCAGTAGGGTCCAATCTTTCATCAATTCTTCTTCTCCGCCACCCTAAGGGGCGGCTATCCAGGTTGGCCAAGATAGCAGTGATCCAGTGCAGAATCCAGGAAGTGAAGATAGAAAGCAGTGGATGGAGTTCCCTGCAAGGTCTGGCCCCGTGCCGGGACAAGACTCTTTTTATAAAGATGTTCAGCTAGACCGTTGATTGGTTTTTCATGTTACTCGCCCACTCTGTGAGGTCGTGACAAGGACGGGGTTTCACTTTTTCACTTCCACGTATTCTCGCTGGACACGAAGTGGGATCGATGTTGTTTTTTGAATTCTGGGGGCCCAATCTTCTTTGCGCCAACAACCCAACCACCGGACCACCACCTCCATCACCCCCGCCGCCAAAAAGGGCTCCTATCAGCTATCCACCGCCCGCCCATAGCGGTCCTGGCGCGAAAGCCCTTGGCCAACCTTTTTTGCCAGTGGTCCAACCTTCCGCTGGACGCGAGTGGTCCAAATCCGCCCGCGGCAGTGAGGCGGGAGGGACTCGGACGCCGGACGCCGCTGTGCCGGCCCGGCGCGAGCGCCCGGCGCGAGCGGTCCCAATCCCCCAACCGGACGGCCAACGGCTGGGCCCCAGAGGGCAGAGGACCGAGGCGGGAGACCGTTTCGGGCACGTGAACGCTGATGGCTGAAGCCAGCCATGAGTGGATGGAAGCATGCAGAGAAGCCAATTCAGCCAATTCTTCTCCATGCTCCAGAACGTGAAAATGAAGAGAATGAGCCGTTTGTGACTGTTTTGAGGAAGTTGAGGCAGCCTACTCTCAAAGGAGATGCAGCTTGCAGGGAACACAGTCCCTTCATGTCAGGTCTTGGGTGTGACATCACGTGTATTTCGGTGAGCATACAGAGCTTGATCAAGTGTGGCCTTGGATGATCGAGATTCGAAGTGGGATGACCGTATACAGTACTGTACTTCTAGGTTGGAGGCCATCGCTAGTAGGGTCGAGGCCATCAGTATTAGGTTGGAGATTCAGTACTTTTACTGTACTAGACATGTCCTTCTTCATGGTACCCAGTTTCTGAGCACACACAGAGTTCTGAAACCCTGGATCGAGATGCCTGAATGAAATCGAAGCTTCTGCAGACTAGATTGGTGGATCCTATCAAGAGCATCAAGGATCTCCGGCCCCAAAGCTGCATAGATCTTGAAAAACCGCAGCTGGTCTCCAGCTGCACCGACCAATCAGGCGGATCACCCAGAAATAGATGGAAGAGGAACTCCTCCTCCCACCTAGCGGAAAGGGTTCGGTTGGGACCCACTTGGAGAGACATCGAACTGGCGGAGTTCCCAAGACCCAAGCTCTAAAGGGAGGACATGAGAGGTACTGATTTGCTTGCATGCTTCGCAGGGAAGCTTCTGGGTGGAGCCCTTGACAGGCCTGAAGTTCAAGAGTTGTTGGCCTCTTGTCTACTGACTACTCCCAGAGCCCGCGAGCTCCATTGGCTCTTCGGCTATTCTTCATTCTATGCGGAAAAGGAGCGAAGAAGGCCAGCGATGCCGAGGCGGAGCTCGCTGCTCGTTTTGCTTGCTGCTTGTGCTCTTGTGCTCCCGAAGTACGGCATGAGGACAGAATGCGCTTACCTCCCAATACCAACGCATCCCTATGAGGGAAGAACTCATAGACAGAACACATGAACACCAAGAATCTTCCAAACCCATAGGAAGACAGCTCCAATAGGTAGCTAGAGGGTGGCAAGCAATCTCCAGCAGGGTTCTGTTGGTTTGCGAAGCCTTTCTGTTTCGGGACTCGAAAAAAGATTCGCTTTTCTGCACCAGAAAATGCTCTTGGTTCTTCTGGCTTTGGGTTGGGATGTGGGGCACAAAAGAAAAGGGAAGAGAACGGTCTAACCCTTCAGTGTTGCCCGGGGGATTCATCGGTGTTGCAGCCGGAACACACTTGGAGTCGACAGATCTGAGCTTCAAGACACGACTTGGGGTAGGAACCCTCGATGCCTTCTGAAGCGCAGAAGGTGACCTTAAAAGAGTGTCCAAACGGGCTCCCAGATCCATCCGACCGGGTGGTTTGCCATCCTCATCCTCCCTTTTGGGCCGTTTGGACGGTTTTGTTCATCTCGTGGCCGCCATTTCCGCCCCATGTCCAGTGCGTGGCTTTTCGGGGAAAACATGGACGGTGTCCCCCAGAGATGGTTTGGTTTGTTGGGGCGGGTCACAGACGATCATCGGGCATCATTTGTTGCGCTTGAAGTCTTGGACCGTTTGCCTACGGTTCTCGGTGTCACTTCACGTTCACCTTCTCGGAGATCCGAAACTGCAGGCATATTCAGTTCAAAAGTCTGGACCATTCTGGACCCTTGCATCAACTCTGGAACTTCACATGCACATCCCTTTTTTGGGAAGGACAGAAGAGGAAGGTTTTGCAAAGCAACATGTGCATACAAAACATCCTGCTTTGCGAAGTATCCCTTGGCACTTTCCTGCCGCACTTTCATCACGCGACGAAGCGGCGTGGTCCTTGACGTCGATCTCCGGTTCTCGGGGAGCCATGTGGCAGGCGGGGGGGCCGTGGCAAGGGGAACAAACTCAAGTTCCAGAGAGGGTCCAGAGCTGTGTCATGTGTCCATGAAATGCTATGTGGTTGTCTTCTCCAATGTTCCATAATGTTCCATTCTTTTTTAGAACCTTAAAGACGTGCCGTTACAACAATCAATGGAGGAGCAAGGACGCGAACCGAAACGGGGCTCCCGGCCTCGCTACGAACGGAGCGATCGGACGTGAACCGAAACGGGGCTCCGGACCCACCGAGAGAGCGCGATCCGGACCCGACCGTCCGGTCGAGCGCCGCAGAAGGACGGTCGGGTGAAAGGATGAACGAATCCGTTCGTAGCGATGCCCTTGGTTCCGCTCGTAGCGAGCCTTCTGTCGGGTGGCACTTCTGGCAGTTACCTGTGCGCCTCTTCCCACAGGATGTAAACCCCCAAAGATCTCGCATGTAGGCCTAGCAGTCTCGGAGATCAAAGGTCAGGTTTCGACGCTACAGCATGGTGGGATTGCTTCGGGTGAGTTGGCTCAGGAGCTGTTATATAAAGGATTTGCTATTACATTGATGTAGGTATTGTGACATCTATGTTTACATCGGTTACTGTTTCTAGAGCTATGACTAATTTTGGAACCAACATGAAACAACCAGCCATAGGTTCCGGAACGGCGCATCAAGTCCTAAACAGGGTTCATTGTTTTGGTGTTCGGGACGGAGCTCGTACTTGGGATTGCTTTGTTTTTTCCGTTTTTGTTCGAACACGCACGGGACCGACCAGGCTGCACTGCACCAACAACATACATGAAATCTGCACTATACGTCTTCTCAAGCTGACTCATCATTGCTCCCTATTAGTTCCTTTGGACCTTGGAACTTCTTAAGGCTGCCTGCCATTGACTTAAATTGGTTGTTGTTAGTATTTGTCTTTTTTGATTCACTCAGCTACCCAGCGCCTGCCACGAAAACTGAGGTTTTTTAAATTTCGACCACGGCGGAGCCAAAACAACATCTGCACTATGTCTTCCAATGTACTTTGCCTCAGCCACGCCGCATTGCGCCCGCAACAACATGGCATATCCTCTTCAAGGACACCCAAGCTGCTGTAAATAGCAGCGAACCAGATACTCCTGCAACACCATATACCCTACCAGAAAAAAATAAACAAAAACACTATGCTCAGCCTGTTCTGTCGCGTGTGATCACAGCCCCAGATGGATTCAGCAAATCAGTCTTCAGACCTGAAAGGTCGTACCACGAACATTGGCAGCTGCGGCATGCGCGCAGGTGAGGGCCGAGGTCGATGAAAACCAGAGTTCCCTCACCGGAAGTTGAAGCTGTTTTCCAGTGATCAGGAGTGAACCCTTATGACTTGTGTCAAAGTTGGCGATCCTGGAGGTTCACAATGGCTGTGTCGTATGTGTTTTCCAAAGCATGCTCTAGGATTCCAACAGCCATTGTTTGAAGGGTCTTTACCAAACAAACCAAAATTGTTCTACTCAGAATTTTGGAGTATCAAACCAGCTCAACCCATTTTTTAAAAAATGGTCTGGGAAGGCTAGGGTATGGACAGTATGGAAGACACCAATTCTTCACTTCACCTCATCCGAACTCCATCGGTCGGCCAGCTCCTTCAGAGAGCCGGTTCACCACTCACGAAGTAGTACCGGTCCTAGAAGTTGTTTGGGGTTTCTTTGGGGTTTTGAAGATTTGAATCATATTCCAGCACCTTCCCTGCCATGTCTCCTTTAGAGGCTTGGGAAGGGCCCTAACAGGTTTCAATTGGTGACCTGTGAAGTCGGTGCTGGTTGAGAAGCTCTGATTGTTTCTTCCACCGCGTGAGTTTGCGGACCTCCAAGGGTGCGATATCCGTGCCAGGACCGTCCTTCCAAGCGAGAACCCCTTTCTGAACGGGAGATGAAGAGAACGGAGTACGGAACGAAAAGCATCACTAGGAAAACTGCAACTCGTCACAAACCTTTCTCAAAGACACGAGTTGCGTACTCTCCGGACTCCAACGAAGGCGGACTCGGCGAGTCCCGGGGATCCCCGGCCGTCGCGAGGTGCCACGCTCCCGGACGACGAAGCTCGAGGAGCTCGAGGAGCGAGGAAAGGCCTCGGTGGGGAGGTGAGTGAGGAAAAACAGTACATCGAATAGAGAAGAACAAGAAGCTACTAGGAACAAGTGCCACGCTACTAGGAACAAGTGCCTTACTAGTAGTAACAAGAAGCTAGAATTTCTTCTTCCCAGACCAGTTCAAACAGGACTAAGACTCAAGACCCTTTGTTGGTGGTCTCCAATCGAAAAGCAATGGTTGGTCACTAGTAACAACCATGAAATCACCGACTGGTCCCGGGACTCCCGGGGCGTTAGGCGCAAGCCTCGCACCAGTGCGTGCGAGCGGAGACGGTCGGGGGTCTGGTCTGCGGAGTGTGACGCGGGCCGCTGGGCTCTGGAGGAACGACGAAGAATACCCGGAGGAACGACTGGCAGAACTCCAGCGGCCAGTTCACCGAAAAACACGTCAGGTTCACCGTCCCCAACATGGGAAACGTGTCCAACATCCGAAACTCGTGGCAGTGACGAGGGTTCGTCGGATGAGGTTTAGTTTCGCTGGTTCTGCCAGTGGAGTCCATTGGGAGATCAAGAGTGCGCGGCCCATCGCCGTAGTGCTCATGAAGTCATGAAGTCATGCGACCTGTCCAAACCTGGTGCTTTTCCTTTTGAACTTTCATCGTGTTTAATCAATTTCATTCCCAATTTGCTCTTCTTGCACGATTGGAGCCCATGGTGATAGGTAGACCATGGGGGCACCGGCAAAACACGCTCGTGGCCATGACGCTCGCGGCCATCGTCGACGCTCATGGTCGACGAAAGGACAGTCAAGGACCTCATGATCGTCAGCTTTGTATGCAGTTGAACTTCTGGTAAGTGACCTCTAAACCACCGAAGAGCGAGCCTGTCTTTGAATCTTTGCTCCCTTCTCTATCTTTGGTGCCTGGTCACCCTCTTTTCAGACTGGGATCTCCCTATAGGTTTTTCTTTGAAGGAATTCAACTTTCCACAAATCACAGGCCAGTTTGTTCTTGAAACAAACAACTACGTAAATCTTAGTTTCAGCCATCTGTGTGACCAATCCGTCCGCCATGCGCCCTGGCGGCGGCCTCCCTGGCGGCGGCCTCCCTGGCGGCGGCCTCCCTGGCGGCGGCCTCCCCGGCCTCCCCGGTCTCCCTGGCGGTGGCGCTTTGGTCGGTGTCGGGGGCAGGCGGGACCTCGGCATGAACACGTCGGGCGTCGTCGTCGTCCTTTGAATTCTCAACACACAGACGACGGGATGAGAATTCGCCTATACTTGTTTAGCCTGTCTACTTGAATTCTCCTTTCTTCTAGTCTACTTATTTAGCCTGAGCACAGACGAGTAGAGCTGTCGGGATGGCTCAGTCTTTCACTAGTCACTAGAACAGAAAGCAAGGCCCGCAGCCGCAACAGCGAATCGCGTTTTGGAAGATACGGGCTCCTTCAAGCCGAAGAGAACCCTGCGGCAGACGCTGACGACTTCTTTGGAGGGGTCTATTTGTTTCGCGTTGACCTACTTGCGGATGTTGATTTTGGACTTTGGACTCCAATTGAGTTGAGCAACCTGTTGATTTTGTGGCATCAGCAGCCAGAGTGCTGTGCTGCTGATGTGTTTTTGAGCTTTGGAGCAATGTCAACAGAAGACATGTGGCCAGCCATCGAACCAGTTTCGGCGGGCGGCTTTGGACCACCTGAAATTAAAATACGCCGCCAGTTCACGATGTTGGGCCGATGTCAACACTCAATCAGCACAACCCTTTGAAGAATTGCAAGAGTCTAGACTTTGGATGAAGTTTCAGCTGCCCATCTGTGATGTTTGTTCGGTTTTACACCCCTGAGCCTGGTGGAGCAATTCCAGCGGAACCGTCCGCGTGGCCCCTCAGGCACGGCGCCGCTGGGGCGCGGCCCTCGGTCGAGCAGAACCCGCACTACGTGGCGCCCAACGAGTCCGCGCGCGCAGAGCGCGACGCCGAAGGCGACGGCGCGTCGTCCCGCGCGTGTGGTCGACAGGGGATGGGGAAGAGGGAGACGGAGAGGACTAAGTTGATTGTAGTACAACCGTAGAAACAGACAGACTTATATGTATATATATATATTATAAGCTGCCAATATATATATAATATATATATACATATATATTATCCATATATATATATATATACAAATATGGATTGGGGGCAACAGTGTAGTATGCACCAAACCACTTAGGCAAAAGAAACAGACTACATGGGGCTGTTTTTATGCGGCTACATGCATTTTAGAGCTGGGAGAAACAGGACCCCTGGTGTAGATGAGTTTCCAGAAGCCAAGCGACAGAAACCAAGCGGTTGGTTTTCACGGGTGCGATTTTGTCCTATGAACGGACAAATGTGTTAGGTATATAGCAAGCCCCGAATCACCAAGGGTGTTTGCAGTTTTTTTTCACCAGTGCGTTCCCTTCATGTCAATTGTCGAACGCTTCGCCCAAAGGGTGTCAATCACCCGGTTGAGCAGCTGGAACTGCAGTGCCCGGCGGAACCCTCCAAAACGAATGGCCTGCCGGTGTAGCGACAGGTGTTTTGTCCATCCACCGGTCACCGGGAGAGCCATGTGGGTCCGCCTTCCGACCGAGCTGCAACAGCCCACATGGACCACTCACCAACGACTTGGAGAGACGAGATGAATTGCTTTTGCTTTCTACTTACAACACGCACAACGGCAGATGAATACTTAATTCATGGTTTGCCGTCCTTGTTCTCCGTGTTTGCCGTCAGTGAGACCAGACCAGAAGACCTGCGATGCTGGCAGAAACGAGGTTTCCACCTCAGGACTTTGTCCCACCGCTTGGAGGAGAGACGGTTGACCCCGGTTTCCCACGGGTTGCCGTATGGCTCCAGCGAACGGATTCAAAAGAGGTACCACAAAACGGTTTTAAACACCCGTAGCAGACGCCTCGGGTGTTTCCACTCGCCACGAACCGGTGTTCGAGCGGCACCGGTGCCAGGTAATGTGACACTGTATGCCTGGGCGAGGATGTTGCCCACGCCTCTCACCTGTGAAGGTGAGTCGTGCGTCTTGCAAAGGTTCATTGTCAGAATCGTGAGAGGGCATGGGCCGGGCATCCTCGAGACCACATGGATTGAGATGCGAAACATGGACCAGCACCACCCAGAGGGTGGTTCTTGGATGGAAAATACACAGTCAGGGAATCAGGAGGTCTACCAGCTGAGATTGCTCTGTTTGGGGCATTGTGTGAGGGGTCTTGCTGCCGGTGAGAGGAGGAAGGTTTGATGGTGGGGTCATGCTGGGAGTTTTGTGTTCAGCCGAATCCGGGCAGTGGGAGAGGCTCTGAAGATGGTTTGGAACCCAACGACGGAACATGCATGCAAACAGGCTAGTTTTGCAGTGTCATTGGGTGTGCTGAGCATCGTCCTTTCAACTTCTGCAGGGAAATACAGCACTTCGATACCCTTTGTTCTTGAACTTTTGTTTGTATTTGCAGTGCTTGGTGAACCCAGTTGCCAACCTTGCTGGTTTTTCGGCCTTGACAACATCCTGCGTTCAGTATTCTATTTCTGTGTGCCGGTTCTGCTGGTATTTAGTTATAGCCCAGTACGGCGGTTGTCTTTGGCTGTCGTACTCTGCGAACGACGTTTCCTGCACTGTGCAAACCCTTCAAGTTCCGCCAGTATTCAATAGTATAGGTTTTGACAAGAATGAGCGTGCTTCACTCTTTTCGTGATGTGCCCTGCTATCAGAATGACGAAACATCTTCAAGCAGTATGATATTTCATGCTTGCCACTCATGTTGACTTTTGCACATAGAATCGTGGGATTGATCGATTGGATGTGTTTCTTTCGTGACTGGCGAGGGCGGACGGCAGCACCGACTTCCAAGCGTCTTCGGCGCCTTTCCACCCACCACAGCAAGCAGGTCTCCTCACAAACGACCAAACTCAAAAGCAATACGTAAAATCAAAAAGAGGAGCAAACAACGAAAGCAAAAAGGCAACCAAAACAAACTGGAACACGAGCAGATACTATCAGCAAAAGACTTTAACAAAGGCAATGAAGAATAGCACGCGGATTTGTGAGCAAGAACATTGAACCAGGCAAGAGTCTTTCTGGAGAAGAAAGCACACGCTTAAGAGACACATGCAAAGTAACGTGCGGGACCTCCGTACGCTGATAGCAGTCCGTTGACTCAATGTACTCCTCCAGTATGGCTAATGTGTAGACTGTTGATTCAGCTCCCAGTTCCTCCATCTGCAGACTGGTTTCACATCTCCGGGCCGAACGGGGGTTGGATTCATCAACGGTCGAAGACTGATGTCAAAGGTTGGATTCATCCCTAGTAGCGACGGCCTGAAGGGGACCTCTGTCTGAGACAAAGCTCGCGGCAAAACGACACCAATGACATCAGGTCGCATCGGGAGGCGCCGCCCTCGCTCTGGCCGACCGAAGTGGTTTTGCCCTTGCGGAGCACCTGGGTCTGGAGGATTGGAAGGTTGCGCCCCGAAGGCGTGGGGCTACGTGGGGCGTTGGGAAGAGGGATGGAAGTGGGTTTGAGGACTTCAGCCGTTCTTTGGTGATGCTTGCGACGCAGAGAAACTCCAAAAAGGACAAGTGGGAATCCATGCGCATCTCTTCGCCGTCCCAGATGGCACCTCCAAAGACCTGTCTGGGGGGGACCCTTTTTTTTGTGGGACGCTCTTTTTTGTGAGACACGCTTCTTATGGAAGAGACAACTTTCTTTTTTGTGCGGGACACTTTTTTGAGAGCACGCATGTGAGAGCTGTGCAAAGAGCACATATGAGAACACACATATGACAGCAGACGCAAAGGAGAACGCATGCGAGAACAGAGGTGACCGCGCACAAACATATATATAGAGGTTTATAAGTCATGAGAGCACCTGTGGTTTCTTGACCGTGCGCAAGACGAAGATCCAAAGGATGTTTGGGTGGGATAAGAAGATCAGAGAGCGTTTCAAACCCGGTGTCTGCAAGCTTCACACCCTGACATCATGATTGCGGCAATCGTGAGGGCAACCCAAGTTGGTGCGCCTCAGCTTCACGCTCGGGGATGAGCTGATTCACTTGCAGGGTCGATCAAGTTCTCCAAATTCTTTCTCGTGGCTCCACGCGCACTCAGGCCAAAATGTCCCGGTGGGACATGTTGGCGTCTCACTGTTGTCACAAGGCTTTGCAACGGCAAGCTGAATGAACCAAAACATGGCTTTTTAAGTCAGGAAAACGTCCTGCCCCTTTTGATGGTCAATTCTTCACGCCGAGGCCAGATGCAGGTGCTCTCGGCCTGGTACGGCCACCCGTCGGACCCCGGGCGAAGGCTGGACGTCTCGGAGCGCGTCAAGGCGTTGCTGGAGGGGCACGAGCACCTGGGCTCCGGGCGGCTCGGTGTGGAGGACGGCGTGAGACGGTGTGGACGGTTGGGCGGATTGGGTTCGGATTGGGTAGGAAACAGTCTGTAGCCTGTATGAAGATATAGTGAACACCATATACATATATGGCCAACAAGTGGAGGGGAATGGAATGAAGATTGGAAGATATGGATAAGGATTGGAGGTTGTACATGGTGTTTGGTGAATGATGTAAGATCCTTGTAGAACGATGGCTCTATCTATTTGTCAATTAGATCCATTCTTTCAGGAGTTCGGGACCGCCCTGAAACTGGGTGGATCTCGTTTCTTCACTCTGAGGCTGGGCAACCTGCTGCGGGAGTCTCTGCATCGCCCCTTGGGCCTGAACGACGCGACGTCCGGTGGACCGGACGCGCAGCGGCGCGCAGCAAACGCGAAGCGAGAGCGACCTGAAGCACCATGGACCGGGCAACGAGAGGACCGTCCGGCACTCAACTTGATGGATATCAACGTCTACCATGACCCCGCCGTGAGGCTGTACAAGGTCCTCCAGGTGTTGCTCACGTTGAGGCGATGGAAAACTTTGCCTTCCTGCGAGCACTCAGTTCTGGGGGCAGGACCAACTGGTGCGGGGAGGGCTGCCACGGAACGGGAGGGGAGTTGTTGGAGCTTGGCAGAACAGCTGAAATCCAACGACGCTGACCTGCTGGGCGTCATCGATTGGTGAGGCAGGTTGCTGACCCTTGGAGGTCAGCACAAGTCTTGGACGACAGAGACCAGGAAGTTGGACTGCCGGGAAGGAAGGAACAGGCCGAATGCCTAGCACTTCCTAGTTGGGTGCCCTGTCTGGAGGCCTGTAAGGTAGGGTAGTCTATTGGACACCCAGACAGGATGACCCTGGTGTGTTTATATTATATAGTATGTCTACTTTTTGCACGAAATCCGCCCATGCACCAGCCCCTGCTGAATTCCGAAAGTCCAGGTAGTCCAAATGATATAATACACACCTCTGGTCTCCGAGTCCAAAACGGTTTGAAAGACAGATGGGATTCACAACTGAGCTGTTCTAGGGGGATTACAACCATCCAGTAGAGGGATTTGTCACGATTTGTCTACCAAATAAACTGTCCGTAGCTCACTTTCCTGTCTATGTTGGAGTTCACTGGACATTCTTCATGAGAACCCAAAAGCCTCTGGGCTTCCGGAGCCTCAGTGAGGACCCTGCGCCCTTCGTTTGGAAGAAGCTGGAAGTGAAGCTCCGCCCACCAGTGCGGTGAAAAGGGTGTTTGGCGCCAACAGACAGACCTGGGCAAGTCGGCAGGAAGTTTATGAGTCCGTTCGGATAGACCGGATCGACCCATTTGGCGCAAGACAAGTTCCGGTCAAGATGAAGTTGGAGAGACTTGCTCCAACGTGCAAATCCGAACAGGAACCGAAGAATCCCTCTGGTCGTGGGACATGTCTGGATTTTTTTCCTGAATCCTTTGAATCCACAGCGGATAGACATATAGCCTGTCAAGATCCAACCATCCACTGCCCGATCTGCTGAGATTGCTGCACGGATTTTCGGGTGCACGAGGTCTTTTACACCCATATTTAAATGGATCGTCAAGTCCAGCGCTTTTGGCAGACTGAGGAGACGACCTCGTTCAGAACGGTTTTTGAGGTCGTTTGATGTCTTTTTTTCCTTGAGTTCTACGTTCCCAAAGCTCACGACAATTCCACCCGCATGGGAGAACTAAGCACTCTCCCCAAACCCTGAAGAACTTCAGGTTCTTGCAGACATTGGGCAATGAACCGATAGATGGGTAATTCTGCTAGTTTGAGTCTCGTTTTTCACGCCGCTTTACTCCTGTTGCCAGGAGTCTCCTTACGCGAGAAGCTCAGGGGGCGACCACGAAGCTCCAATCTGTAGGTGGTGCATCATCGTGACGGTGTGACGGGCGGTGCAGGAGTTCCACCTTGCATTATCAACCATTAACCTGAAGCAGAACATCTTCCACCTTGCCAGTGTTTTGGCTTTGTGAGGGGGTCTAAGAACTTCTTTCGACGGTGCTCTTGCCCGGTGACACAGCAAGCCGCGTGAGAAGTGGTTATAAGTTATAAGGGTTTCCTCGGTGAGGGTGCAACAAGCCCTGAACATACGCATGTTTCCCACCTTTGGCTCTACAAGTTCCTTGAGTCTCTGACACACGCCCCTACTGAGGTGCCCCCGCCACGCTACGAGGGCCGCTTCTCCGCTTTGCGGCCTGGCGGTGCTCAGGCACGGCTGAGCATGGCCGAGCTGTGGTTGGAGTGGTCAATAACCATCCGCAGCAATCCAAGCAGCTGCTCAAGCCAGCACTGGCTGGAATTGGACTACCCTGCAGGTAAGCGCATGCACTTGGCAGAGGAAGTCTGAACACCTCTGCCAAACTCAAGTACGTTGCATAACCCAGACACGACCCTGTCTGGGACTGGCATATTTACCTACATTGGGGTGGTCTAAAGGGTCAGCGTAAATATGTATTGGGTGACTACATGGAGTATGGTAAGGTAAGACCTGTTTGGTGAATATGTTATACTCGTGGGTAGTGTGGTCCACTGTTCGGCATATTTACTTAGATTGTCTGAATAAACATCTTTGCAGGTCGACCTGTCGGCCAGGCAGAGCAGTTGGCCTGGGCAGTGAAGCACTTCGAGGCGCATTGGCACCGTTTTGAACGGTTGGATCTGCTTCAGGGGGACATCCCCCAGTTAGACCCCTCCTTCGAAGGGAGGAGAGACAGATGGACTGACCTGAATGGTTGGGCTGAGATTCATCAGCAAGTTACGGGTGTGAGGCATAGTACATTGGAACGTCTTGCGATGTGTCTTGATCCAGCACCGTCCTTCTCGTGTGGTTTCTAGAACCTCCTGACCATGTGCTTTCCATCCGAATCTGGATTCGGCTGGTACTGGATGAGGAGGATCTGGATGTGATGTGTACCTGAAGGAGCCTCCTCCTTCAGAAAACGGCAACAACATGCAACAACAACTTTAGAACAGGTCGCTCAAGCCCAACGCAGCTTTTCTACGACTGCGGCTAGGCATTTAATACCTTGCTTGTGTGACTTGCCTCCAGGTCGATGAGGTCCGCCGGCTGTTGCGACGCTGGCCAGCGGGTGCTGTGGCCGGGCTGCATGCGGGCTACGAACAAGCCGGCCGAAACGGGCGGGGAATGAACCAAGATAACCAGCATTTTGATCCAGTTTGTAGAGGATAATATAAAGCTGCTAGAAACAAGGTGCATCGCTACTAGGAACAAGTGCCTCTAGCTACTAGTAGCTAGAGGCTACTAGTAACAAGAAGCTACGAAAGTAGCGATGCAATTTTCTTGTACTGTTTGTGTTCAACTTCAATTTTAACATCACATCACGGTGAACTTGTTACTACTAGTAAGGCCCTTGTTTCTACTAGCTTCTTGTTACTACTAGTAAGGCACTTAGTTACTAGTAGCGTGGCACCTTGCTCCTAGTCGCTTTCTTTTTTTGCATCATTTTAATATGCGTCACCCGGTCCGGGTCCGCGAGGATGTCGAGGTTCGTTGTGGGTCTCCCTCCATTCTTGGTCCTTGTGGGGCTGTCCACAGAAGGTCGAGCTGTGTATAGACTCCCAAATAGATAGAAGAGTAGATTCCCACTACAAATGTATTCGAAACCGAAACCCTTTCTATCCATTTTGGGACCACTATGTGGGTCAGCCTCGGCCCTTTTCAGGCCTTGACGGACAAAGAGGGTGCGTGGCCTCAGCAAATCCAGCCGGTGTCGACGCTCGTCATCTTGAGGTGGACCCAAAAAGTCTCAGCTGTCAAACATCTTCAAACCTTTTGGGGGCCTCTCTCTCCACCTCTTTTCTTCAAGCTCGAACTTCGAACTCCATCCGAGCTAATAGCTCCCAGGATCCGCGGTCGGGTCGCTCCGTTCTCTCCGGGTCGCTCTCAGACAACACGCTCTTCCACCTGGCGGCGGGCGAGACCGCCCGCGCGGCGGCACGGCGTGAGCAGGCGGAGGAGGTGAGGAGGGTCGCCTGGAGGGTCTGGAGGGTCTTGCATGGCCCCCCAAAAAGGGAGGGTAGATGGTTGGTGAGCGGAATTGACACCCCAGCGGTGCCTCAAAGGATTCCCATATGTATATGTAGGTTAGGCTGTAGGCCGTAGGTCAGTTTTGGCAAGGACCATGTCAGTCTTCAGGATAGGCCGGCCAGAGGCAAATTGTTAATGTTCCAAACACAGATTCATCAGCAGGATGTGTGTTGATCCAATTGATGAGTGGCCAGTCGTCCCATCTGTTGTTTTGCATCTGGAAGGATGTTATTATTGTGGCATTCCATGGGTTTGCCCGGACTGACTGCCAGCGCAAACACCAGTGGCATCATGGAGGCATCTAGTGAGTAAGCAAGCAAGCAAGTCAATAGGTCGTCGGCGGACCCTCACCAAACGCCTTTCCGTGTTCCTTGACCGGACAGGACTTGCAACTTGGTCTCCTCATCTTACAAGCTAAAATCCAAGTCAAATACAGAATGCCATGAGTATCCATGAGTAAAGGTGGCCGGACAGGACTCTGCTAGCTGCAGCTAGCTTCACCAAGTGGACCGCCCTTCGCAGCCTCTTCACCGCAAGAAGGGCGAAGCGGCACCTCCAACGAGCGTGACGTTGAGAGACCATAGTGGCGACCTTGCAGACCTTGTGACCTAGAGTTACCACTACAAGTGATCAATTTTTAGTGAAAAAATACGAGATTTGTGAAACACCAGGAGTGAGATGATACAAGAGTCCTATGACCAACAGCCTTCGCAGAGCTCAAGTAGCGCATCCGTTGGAGTACAGCTCAGCTGTAGCTCAGCTGTAGACTTGGGGACCCTTTCAAGTCCGCGAGGTTGTGAGAATCCTCTCATTTGTGAGCCCGAGAAGGACGATCCTTTCATTGTATTCTGTTTCGACCCGCAGAAAGACGCCCCCTTTGGCCCCATGTCGTCGAACAAGGGCCGTCTTAGGTCCTTGTTCGTGTCTTGTTTTCCAGTTCGTCAGCAAACAGGCTGACGGACACATTGGGCTCCTGACCACCGAAGCTTTGGGGTTGTAGCTAGCAGCTAGTAGCTTGCTTTTCGCCTGTGTTTCAGAAGATGAGTCCGACGCAAGGAAAAACCGGAGGCTACCATAGGTAGGACCAGGAATATGAAGAATTCGCGTCGAAGCATTCCCTCACGGAGAATCCATGCCGGGCCGCCTCATCGCCGGAGCCACGAGCCTGGAGCTTCTTCCACCGCGAGCACCGTGGGAGGCCGCCGGGGAGGTCGAAGGACCGTGGCCGGACGATGCGGCCGTGTTGGCGGAGACAGTCTGAAGACATGTTCGCTTCGCGTCCGATCGCTCCGGACGAGTCGGTCGCGATGCCCGTCTTGTTACGTTCGGAGCTTCTTGTTCCCTGTAGTAATGCCAGGAGCTACTAGTAGCGATGGCCTCTACCTAGTAGCTTCTAGTTACCCTCCCGGCCGGAATCGACGGAACCCTCTGGTCTTTGCGGAGAGTTTGACCAAGATCATTGAGCACGAGTCGCGCTGGAAGCGGTTTGGACGCTTTCTGCTGACATTTTCTCTTGGGCGGATGGGAAAGGACCTTTGATCAAGAGTCTTGGCGACCACCCAATTCCACCCCCCCCACGAGCTTCCCCTCGCCGAAAACGCCAGGCCTCGCCGAAGACGAGCTTCCTCGGTCTGCGGGCGGCTGAGGGCGTTTGTGGGACCAGCCGTCGGCTCCGACGAGGCAAAAAGGGGGGGGTAATTGCTGTAGATTCTTGATGAGTAAGACTTTTTCCAATCCATGTCTGGGGGAGGTTCTATTGATCAAGAGTCTACAGAGAGAAAAGGTGGAGGTTCACCGTTTTTGCTTTTCCACCCTTTTAGCCTCTATCATCCTCTCTCTCTAGCAAACGTGAACGTGGAGAACGCTATGTTCGTAAGGGAAGATCGTTTTGGAGTGGGCCATTGTCTACTTGCATGATAGATGATCAGATCAAGTGCGAAGTTTTAGAGTAACGAGAGCATTGCTACTAGTACCCAGGGCATTACTAGTAGCAAGAAGCTACTAGGTTGGAGGCATTGCTATTAGGTGGAGGCCATCGCTACTAGGGTGGAGGCCATCGCTAGTAGGTTGGAGGCCACTATAAGTAGCAGGAAGCTACAGGTAGTGATGCCCTAGCTACTAGTAGTAATGCCCTTGTTACGTTCGTAGCGATGCACTTGCTTCTTTTGGATCGGTGTTGATCTGGTCGGGGCACACTTCGGGACGTACCTACCCACGCTGGTGTGGCCTCATTGGACTCGTCTGACAAAAAGGGGGACAATGACCAAACAACCTGATAGGTCCTTTATGTGGATGATGACGCAGAAGCAGAACAATATATATAGTTTATAAATGTTTATAATGCACAAATTCACATCAATTCACTGTCATGCAAGTTTGAGCAAAAGGGCAGCTGGACCAGATTGAGCGTTTGGAGGCTTTTGGGACTGTGCCCAGGGCTGGCACTCTTCAAAACGCTCGGCTTGTTTGATCTGTTGGATGGTCTGCTTGGACTCCTTCATCACTTCATCAGCCTTGAAAATGAAAGGAATGGTGTGGTGTTCAGTGCCCAAATCGCTCGGCTAGTGAATCCCAACTGAAACACCCTGCTTTTCAAGCTCCGCTCCTGCCGAAAGGAGGCCGTCCAGATTGGACGATGCCCGTGATCAGCTGGATGTCGCTGGTGGCTTTGCGCCGAGGCGCCACGATTCCGATCCGGAGCTCGGCCAAGGCTGACAAGTCATCCGTGTGGCAGGCTTTCGATGGCTTTAGGACTTTGGGATTTCTGGACACCCCTGTCAAGCACTTGAACGCGCGTGTTCAAGAGGCACATCCACGACACGACACTGACGACCAGTTACTGGGGACTCCGTGTGACTTGTGGCTTCAGGTTCCACCCGACCTCGAGTCGTGTGCGGCTGCGTGCCGAAGAACCTGGTGGAGGGCTGGGTGGTGAAGTACCAGTGACTTGGATTGACAACAGATACGACTTCGGAGCTTGACTGATTGACATTGACTGATGAGTCTGATGAGTGGATTTGAGTTGATTTGGGACCTGTTCAAGACAGATGGTAAGCGGTAGATAGATAAAATGGCTGGTTGGAAGACTGTTGTGCTGTACAAGCAGTTCTTTTTTCCTGCTTCCATGTTCGTTGAGGGAAGGCACGCACACTGCTGTTCAGACTCCTCGTGTGCTGCGTGTAGAGCTCAGATGGAATCTACTTCAAGCGAAGTCTACTCACATTGGTTGATGGATATGTTTCTGCTGTTGATGGGGGAACTACACTGTGAATATTAAAAAGTGGAACACCCTCTCTTTGAGCTGGTGCAGGAATACTCCTCGCCAATCGTTGATCTGTACAGAGCGACCATTTCCCCACCAAATTGGACATCTGATGGGACGTCCAACATCTTTGTTTGGACTGAGCTCCTGGACCGGCATCCTCTTCCGCATCCCAGGCGTGATGGTCCAGAATCGACCTCTCTGGGCTTGGCCGTCGTGGACGAGAAAGGGCGGCTGCAGCCCTTGTGTACTTGGGAGGAGCACATGGTTTCAACCGAGTCACTGCAAGGTCGAAGATGAAAGGTCCTGATGCAGCCGTATGCAAACATCAAGCCAGACACACCCAGACATACCCAGACATACCCAGACCGCCAGAGCTCCGCAAGTCTTGCCCTACCACATCTGCCCCTGCCAGGAGGATGAACGAACCTTCGTAGTGAACGCCACGCGGCAAAACAGGATGAGATGAGTTCTTCCGCTTCCTGTGGCGGCAGGTGGTGAAGCGAAGCTTCAGGAGTTTTGAACCGGTGAAATGAAGCGCTGTATCGCTGTGTATCTTTTTTTACAAAAAACACCCTCCAGTCGTACGTACCTCCTCGGTCTTTGGACCCTCTAAACCCTTCCCAAAAACCTTCTAAGAAGGCAACTACTTGGAGCGCCAAACGGGTTCGCGACTGAGGAAGATGCAGACGCCATCGATGCAGAGGATCGAGTCGTGCCACTGGACCCAGATTCGATCGACGCGTCTCGACGCGTTCTGCGACCGATGCCGTTCACGCCCTGCGCGTCCGTCTCCGTGAACGACAGGCCGTTCACGTGAGCCCTGCGCGTGCGAAAGCAGACGCGAGCTTCGTGAGTCCGTCGTCCGTCAGACGAAGAGCGAAGTCGTCCGTCAGGCAATTGCTGGACGTGATGGTGAGCCATCGGCAGATGCCGCGCCCGGTGAACCCGCACGGAGAGGAGGTGGAGGACTGGAGTTTTGAGTTCTCTAAGTGCAGAACGGCAAGCCCTGTGGCCGAAGATGTAGACACTTGTTGGTTAACGGCAAGACCTCTGGAAGATTCAGATGAGCATCGCATCGCAACTCAAGCAACTCTTCCAAGCGTTTTTTTTTTCAATTCTTTCCACTACTTTTCGCCAGTTTTGGTGCTACCAGGACACCTACCTGGTGGATGAAGAGGAGGACCTTTCTGATGTGGAGATTGTGGTGCGGCCAGAGTGCGAACCTTCCATGGTTTGAAAAAAGAGCCGCTGCGCCGGCACTCCGCCCAAAGCATGGCAAGCCGTGACCGGAGCCGTGAGATGGGTCGATTCCTTTTTTTTAAATGTGATGTAGTATGTTGATTGGCGCGGTTCATGGTCATTGATGTGATTAGGTTGATCATGGTTGATCTTTTTAGATGCTAGCATTGATCAGTCAGAAGTTTTTCAGCTTAGCTGGTGAGCTTTGGTGAGCCGACCTGAACCAGGATTCATTTCACCAGCAGGGTTGGCCCGTACTGGATCCAAATCTCCAAGTGCTCGTGGTGCTGACCCACACTGAAGAGAATCTCACATTGCATCCTACTGATTGTTCCCTTGTGAGCGTTCAGCCGGATTCTTTTGCAGGCCCAGAAAAGAACGCCCCCCAAAGAATGGGTATACAATGGTATACATCTCAACAGATTTGCAGGGTACCAATCCTACTTGAATCATTGTTTTAAAACACGTTTGTTGTTAATTTACTCTATTTATATATATCTTTAGTTACTTTTTAAAGGGCATTTAAGATTATGAGTTATTGATGGCCCGGTGCATGCAGGTGGTCTCCTTGTTGCTGCAGAGCGGCTGGCAAGTCGTAGCGACTCGGCGTGACGGAGTGACGTTGGCTGTCGAAGACACATGAGAACTACGCATTGCTACTAGGAACAATGAGGGCATTACTACGACACGTAACAAGAATACTACGAACGTAGGCTCCTGGCATTGCTAGAAACAAGAACTTGAGCTGGGGAACCGTGGCTGTGGGTCATGGCACTGGACATGGTCAACCTAAACCGTCCCATGGAGCAGGTTTTGACCCATCCTCCATGTGTTTCCAACAGCGTGAGGCATTGACCATGGAGGTCAATGTTCCATACAATGGTTGACTGGAACAATGGAGATATCATACACCGGTTGACCTGGACTCCCACCAGTGAACACCATCTCAACTGGTTTCGTGGACCACCATGCTGTGTTGGTCCACAGAGCTGAAAAACGACCCCGGGGTTCTTGCCTCTCAGAAACACGTGATGGACCATCGAAAGTTTTGGACGTTTTGCACACTTCTCTGAGATTCAGTGGGTGAACCGCCCCAAAACACCCAGAAAAGGGCAGCCACCCAAGCGCCAACTGGGCGCTTTTTGCAAGGCTTCGTGGGCGGACTGCGAAACACGTGTCGATTCCCACAAGAAAGAGTACCACTCCTTCTTGGCCCTCCCGTTCCACTCCTTCTTGGCCTTCCTGGCTTGAACCGGAGGACCAGAAGAACCGCCGGGGCGAGCGAGCGGAAGTGGTCGCCCAACGCTTGGACCGAGGAGGCCCAAAACGGGACCGAACCAAGCCGAGAGGAAGCGGCGGTTTTGAAAACCGGAGAACACCGGAAGTCAGGTGGGTCCTTTTTCGGGAAAAGGCGGCTTTCCTGATTTCCTGGTTTCTATTGGTTTCCTGATGTTTTTTCTTTGTTCTTCCACTTTTGGTGTTGCTTCAAGACAGCCCTTGATCCGGCTTGTACGGTCCATGGTCCTCCACTGGCACTCGTTGGTACCGTTGGATGGAGGCCGAGTGCCGTGATTGGGGAGCGTGTGATACGGCGCGACCGTGTGAGACGGACGGGACAACGGTGCGACCGTGGACGCAAAGAGATGTGACTTAAGACTGCGTCCTCACTGCCTTTACCCATTTTAAAGCTGCAAGCATCATTGATTTGGTATATTTTTATATATAGGCCATCTCTGATCACAGGTAGTCGGCGGGAATGGGATACAGCTACCCAGGATAGAAAATGTGTGCATCGTGTCCAACTCGCAGCATTCTTAGAGAACACACAAAGCCCAGCTACTCCAATCAGTGCTTTCCTCTCCCCAGCTGTTCCGAACGAAACGAATGGGAAGGGATGGAGTGGACGGGTGATTTCCGAGCCTTTGGGCTGTTAGACCAATGTAAACACTGAGACTGGTTCACTTCTCGATGAATCGCATGTCACATTCGATTTGGTTTCTCAATGCATCCGAGCCTCTCAACACTTCATTTGCCTGGCAGGAGCAGCTGAAGAGATCCTCCGATCCAGGCGCACTCAACCAAGATGCCGGAGCGGTGGTGCTGGAAGCATGATAGGAACCACGTGTTTTCCTCATTTTGTTGAGTGATCAGAGTGATCGGTTTGAGCGGGAAAAACGGTTTGCAGAGCTGGTTCTCTCTGAAGTTGAGGGGGATGCGTATGGGTGATGGCTCCTCGTGGTGGAAGATGGCGTGGCTTTGCTCGACATCGTTTTCTCGGCAGTTTTCACAGCGGCTCAATTCCAAGCCACACCTCCAAAGTTCCAATTCTCAGAGATGCAGGTGACGGCTGTGTCCGGCACCATAGTAGCTCAGCTTGAGGAGGATGAAGTGCGTTGTATGGTGGAAAGCGGAAGGACTGTTCGTGATCTGAAGCAAGCCCAGGTTGGATGCTCAAGGTTTCGACAAAGACTCCTGACTGACGAAATTGGTGAATTGCAAGATGACATGCCGTTACGTCCTCTACCACGTGTGCAGTTGGTAATCTTGAGTTTTTGTGCCCCCCCACGAGATAGTGGAGGAGGAACTGTTGCGTGCATGTGAGGAGAATAGGGTGTGCGAACTCGAACGTTTGCTCCAGAAGCCACAGGATCCGAATCGGAAAGGGAGAAACAGCAACAATGCACTCAATGCACCTATTCATGGCACAGCTCTGTATGGTCACTTGGAAGCTGTGCGGTTGTTGCTGGAGGCTGGAGCTCACAAAGATGCGGCAACTGTCTGTTGGTGAGAAAGGCTACTGTCTCTCTGAGGTTGTGCAGTTACTTGAGGCTGGAACTGACCAGAACCCGGCAAGGGCAAATTGCAAAGTGCGGTGAAATGGCGTTTCCTGATGGGAGGAGCGCAGTGGAGAATCCTCATCGATGAAGTTCCTGTGTGCTACTTGCAGTTCTTGCTTTAAGACGGGCGAGTAGGCGAGTATGAATAGTGATGGGTTTTTGGTGGTGGTGTAAGACTGCAGGGTTGCTCAGAAGGGTTTTGGTCTTTCTTTCGGGTGCACTGCTTTGTTCCGGGTGTGGATTCAAGAGGGAAACCCTCCAGCAGGTCGATGTCTTTGCGGTCGATGTCCCGAACCAAAGGGACCATCTCCCTAGTTACAGACCCCAACCGCCCTCGCCGGGTTCCGACACCACCCTCCAGGCGGTCACTTCGTCCGGTCTCGGTCGCTCTACGTCGGGGACCGACCTCGTGAGGTCGCGAAGCTTCCAGGAGGCCTCCAGGGCTGAGGCGTCGGCGTCACGGATTTGGGTCACCTGGTCCAACGGGTCCATTGGTCCGCCTTTTTTTTGGAGTTGCTTGAGGTACGTCTCGACAGTCAAATAAGGAAGCCTCATCGCCCAGTTGTTTCTTCTTTCGACAGGTGAGGGTCTTCAATTCTGAGAAACCCTTTGTCGAGTTGGAGCTTTTCTTCATCTTTCTTCCATTATTTTTCGAAGATGGCTGGTCTCACAAGGGCCGAATGGGGATTCCTGGGCGGGCCCCATGCACAATCATTTCCCATCCAGCAACTCTTGAGTCGTTTCTTTTGTTCTCGCTTCATGTTTTGGGTGCATCCTGGGCTTTTTAGCTGCTGATCTCGTTTCAGTCAAGAAACTGAAGTACTTTGGAAACTTTAGACACGATCACCAGGCACTTGGCAGGTCATATTTCTTGGAATCGCTACTAGGTTGGAGGCCATCGCTAGTAGGTTGGAGGCCATCATAGCAAGAAGCTAGTATAGGTTTTAATCTCTTCTTTCTTCTCCCCCCCCGTCGCACCCCGCGTCGCTGCGCCAGGTGCCTTTGCAGCTCATCGGTGAGATGCCCGGAGGCCCGGAGGTGGCAAGGCCTGGAGGATGGAGGATGGCCTTGGAGATGCATTTCCAACGAGTGCTGTTCTTGGTACCACTCCAGGTGTGTGTGCTTTCACACTGAGCGCACGCAGGATTGGTCCTTTCTTTGTAAGCCTCTTTTTTCGCCCAAGAAACCTCTTGGGGGCGGTCTGGGTGGCAATGAAGTCGGTAGCGCACTTCTCACGGTGCGACCCATGCCTCGCTCCGGTCGCGCACCGCGCAGCCGAGTTCGAGCAGGCAGCTTCCGAGCCTTCGTTTTGGGTTCGACCCCCTGGAAACACCACAGTCACCACGGTTTCAGGTGGAACACATGTCGTTTTTGTTGCTTTCAGGTCGCCTGTGCCTTGGACCTGGCAATACCCCGTGCAGGCGGGTCGGCCTACTCATGGAGTGTTGGGGTTTGGCGGTTTGGCTAAGTGAGAATTTCTTCGTGGTTTTCTGGTTCTTCGAGCGGGTGATAAGGATTATTCTGTGGGATTCTACTTAAGGCGGCGTCGAGTAGTACTTGGTTCTTTGGAGAGCGGTTTGTGGTCGGATCTCTGGATGCATGCGTCGGTGGACGGTCTGCGGAGCGGTTGGGACGTAGGAGCCATGAGCTGCCACTTGTTCCTTTTGTCCACCCTACTTGCACTAGTAGCTGAGTGCATCGCTATTAGTAGCTAATTTGCTACTAGTAACAAGAAGCTACTAGTAGCGATGCCCTTTCTTTCTTTGCTTAGTGAGTCAAAGTAAGTAAGTTGATTGCCCAGGGCCAAAAGTTTTCGCCAGATTTCCCACACCTTGCCTGTGGTCGTTGGAAGACTTCTTGAAACAAAACATGGAAAGCCCCGTGTGATGCAAGTCTTCTCCATCCCTCTTTGTAGCTGGCAGGCTTCGACGGTTCCTCCTGCCATCCGACCCTTCCTCGACTTCAGGATGAGCAGCGGAGGAGCTTTGCCGGTGCCAGGGCCACAGTGAAGGGAAAGGACTGGCCGACGGGTGCCAGGACTGGAGTCCAAACTCCAGGACTGGGTGGCAAATGAGTCGGAAGGTTGGGACTCTGCCTCTTGGACGATGTTCGAACACAGACAGGGCTTGGGTTTCTGCATGTTGCGAAAAGCAACGGGAAC